CTCACTCCCCAGTATCCTGTGTACATTTACATCAACTACAACTAACAACACTCACAACAGTATCAATCATGAAATACTCAACTCCCGCCGCAATCTCTCAAGCCATGTGCGCTCTACTCTTTGGCTCATCGGTGATGGGCAAAACACTCTACGTCGGTACCGGTGTAGCTGAGATCCTCTCCTACTCCTTCGATGGCACCTCGTTCGCACCCATCTCTTCCACAAACGACTCCTTCCCTTCGCCCACATGGCAGACATTCGACGGTGATATCATGTACTCCGTTTCTGAGTCTGGCGGAACCACCCCAGGAGCTATCACCTCATATCATGTCGAAAATGGGACATTCACAAAGATCAGTCAATCCGCTGGACTGCCGGGCCCAGTACACATTGCATTGACAAAGAACAAGAAGGGTCTCATTACTGCCGCATAGTATGTTACCTTCCCCTTTCCCCATTCCGTCCATACTAACGTCTCTCCAGCGGCGGCCAAGGAACCAACTCCTTCGTAACCAACAACGGGTATCTCCAGAAGAACCAGCAATTCACCTACGACGTGAGCTCCATCGTCGAGGGCCGCCAGGGCGAGTCACACCCTCACGGAGTGTTTATCGACCCCACTGGCGCCTTCGCCGTGATCCCTGATCTCGGCGGCGATGTCCTCCATGTCTACTTCATCGCCGGCTCTAGCTACACGAACAACATGACTCCACTCCCCGACGTCGCAGCCACCGTAGGAAGCGGTCCCCGCCACGGCGCCTTCTGGCCCAACAAGGAGGGCCAGAAGGCCACCCACTTCTTTGTGGTTGCGGAGCTCAACAATGAGATCACGGCGTACTCGCTCACCTATGGAACCGGCACATTGACCATGACACCGATCACCACGTACAGCACCTTCGGCTCTAAGGACAAGGTCCCCGTCGTCACTGGCGGACCTGCCGCTGGCGAAATCGCTATCTCTGTAAGCACCTTCCCAACCCCCCCCCCCCCCCCATATTAACCCCACACGTAGACTAACAACCCGCGCACAGTCTGACAACAAATTCCTCTACGTCTCCAACCGCATCGATCGTTCCTTCCCCAACGTCGGCTCCTCCGGCAATGGTAGCGACTCGCTTGCGCAGTGGAACATCAAAACCGATGGCACCCTCGAATTCGTCGGCCTTACTCCCGCGGGTGGGCTCAACCCGAGACATTTCTCGTTTGTGACGCTGGGCGGAAAGGACTATGTTACGGTCGCGAACCCCGCGAGTGGCGATGTTCAGTTGATTGAGAGGGATCCGGTGACCGGGAAGCTGGCGGAGGTGTCCACGGCGTTCATTTCAATCCCCGGCGCGAGCGCTGCTACGTGGAATTAGGCGGCAGTGGTGGGTGTTTTTTGGTGGTTTTTTATTTTTTTGGCGTTCTTTTTTAGGGAGTCATTTTTGGGTTTATTTTTTTGTTTATTTCTGTTCTCTGACTGGTTTACCACGAATCTTTACGATTGCATTTTGTTTGTTTGTCGCTGTCTGTTTTGGAACGTTTGGGGCGCGTGTTAGAATCGATACATACTTGTCCAAACGCGCTTTTTACGAGGCTGCTTGATCTATCGCTTCTTGATGTTTCTCTTCTCTTTACATCTCAGGAAACAAAAGTAAATGATTTTTTGTTATCTTGTCCGTCGCTCTTTTTTTACCATTCAATTCAATGTAGATAAATAAAGTACATGAGGTTTAAGCTTTCAGGGTTTTACTTCGCCGCATTCCTGCCTTCCACGCCTTACTTCATCTCTACTGTGGACTAAGCGAATCTCGTTCCACCCCGCTGCAAGATTGCGGCGGGATTACTACAGAGTTTGGTGATTTTAGCTTTCTGTGGGGTGATTGTACAATATAGAGTTAGACTAGAGAGCATGTACTCCACATGAAAGTACATTCCTGGCCGGTGTTGTACGTACTAACACACGATCCCAGGTTAGTGTGGCAGTAAGCTTTGGGATCCGGAGGCTTAGGACGAGTGATACATTGTGCACACCGTACTCGAGCCTATAATATTATGCTAGCAATTAATATATTATCGTCTGATTGAATTGCTCATCTACCTGAGGCTGGCCGTTATTGTTTTTAGGGTAAGCGCGCGCGATTCTTATTTCCACCCACCTGCTCACCTACCTACCTGCTCAGACTCCCTCCAGGCACAACACAGAAATAAATAATTGTGTATTTCCGACAAGGCTTCATATCGAAATGTCAACACCGTACTGTGAAGGATTCTCCACCCAGGATCGACAGGGGCATGAGCAATGAATATCGAAATTTCGAGGCCCAATAGGTAAGCATGGTATATCCCCGTTCATTCGATCGCCTTCAGCGCTGCTGGATTCAGCGCGAACCTGAAACGGCTGGGAGCCAAGCCAAGGCGGATACTATGGACTGAATGTGCTTCCAGAAGGATTGGCGATCGTGTCTTGTTGAGATGTGATATCTTTGCCAGGCTGAAGATATCCCGAGTTCTTGGTACTTGGTAGATTCTCGCTCGGTTGCTGAGACTTTGAACGTTGCAAGGGATCGCGTGACATCGCGTGATGTCAACTGTTTCATGGATGGGAATCTCTATTGACCACAGTATTTCCGGAGAGAGTCCTGGTGCGGCTGCGGCGAAGTGCTGTTTTGTGTCTTTGGCAACATCCGAGCCTTATGATACAAGGCGTGCAATTCCTAACTATTACATGATATTCGACGTCTCGGTGGTGATAGAAATAAAGGTGTCATATTGTCCGGCCGCAGGCTCCACAGTAATCAACCTAAATTGAAACTCAAGCGGGCTGGGTGTCCTGGAGCTAAGCACCCTGATAAGTGCACATTTGAACACGCCTAGAATATGCGTACCTGCATATTTCTTACATGTGGTTGACATGTAAGTTACCTCTCTCTTCCAGTCAGGTGCTGCAGCACACCGCATGCCCACAAATAGAAGCACTGCCCTGAATTTGCGACACTTGCACTTTTATCTACCCCAGGTGTGACACTGGAATGATAAACCATTCGGTCTGCCAGGCTGCGATAAACGTATTTGGTGTGAAATGTGGAGCATGGGGTCGAGCAGCGCTGACTTTTTCCCATATACGTTTGAAGATTCCTCGAGCGAATGACCGATCGCACCCTGGAATGCTGTAAAAATACCCGGTGAATATGTGTCTATGTTTAATATCCGAATTTGCTGTCGTTGACACCTTCCAGAAATGTTTCTTCACCCCCACATGATGTCAGTTACGGGAAGACGCTGAGGTAGGAACATGATCATTATATTCAGGGGGGTGATAGCCAATTTATCATGAGAGAATATAAGATAACTTGAGGTCTTTGTACATGATGCAATCATGGCCTATCACTCGGGTAGTCAACCGTACCCAAACAACATTCGAATATGTATAGAATAAGAGTCCGTTACCCATGCAAATATTTCTTGAAGAACAACTCCAATCCAAGCTGAGTGCTCTCCGAGATTCCGGGAATGCCGCCCGGACATGAATCAGTCAAGTGATGTAGCAGGTTCGAGATCTTTGTTTGTGCCTCTGTACTTCAATCCTTGTCTTTATAATTCAAATAATCTGCACCCACACTTTCACCAAATTTATGTCAGCTGAGAAATTAGTTATAAAAGTCATCTTGCACAAAAGCAAATGGAAGGGAGGCCTGACGTCTTCCGTGTTAGGAGAGAGCAATTCTCCCGCCGATCGCGAAGCACTAGCAGGTACTTCTATCCTGGAAGGAACGATCTCCGTCTTGGGAATAATAATTCAGCCCTGATCTTAAGTCTCGTGTCAGGAGCGTACATCTCAGGGTGTTAATTTTCCGGGATTCAACCCACGCTTCCGAGATGGGCAGAACTAGATGGAGTTGAGAACATTAGGAATTAGCAATGAACATAGCAAGAAGGACATATGTCGGGAGCAGCAAGCGGGAACGACGTGTAGGAAGAGTGTGGGTGGAGAGAGAATAGTGTGAGAAGATAAAGGTGCTTTAGGTGATGGCCTTGGTGGTGGCAAGGGGGGTTTGGTTACTGGAGCTGGGGGTGTCGAGACAAAGTATACATATACTAGTCGATAATTAGCGCCAATTGGCCGATCGCGCAACATAAACGTTGGGCAGAAGTTTGCCACGTCATTGTAAACCTGTAATGAATTGATTGATGGATTCATCAAGTTACATGAATGAATATGTGTACGCTTATGCTGTCTTCACATTCCCAAACTTTCATGCACAACGTCTACACACAGCATCCTGTCTCTGGCCAACCCTCGTATATTTCTGGTATTCTAGGATTAATGCAAGTTGAACCATATCCAGTACTCGACATATTCACGAGATAAGATGCCATAACTTAGTGGAAATCTTCTTTGGTTAACTAGTATGGCTCTGATTTCGACCTTACATGCCATTGGCCTTAAGATATCTCCCAAGTACAAACTATCTAGAGACATCTCTGGCCGTATAGAGATAAGAGTGTCTAAGCTCAAATAATTCGCCCGGGGGTGATCTAGAGGCTATAACTTACTAAAGAGACAGCCAGGATCGTAACCCAGGGCCCCTTTCGCTACACATGCATCTACACTGGTTCATAGATGACCCGAATACCCACATTGTATGTAACGGATACCGATATGTAGGTTCCGTATAACTGAGAACGAATTCGAAAACCCCCCCCTGATTCACTCCCGGGACCTAGGGGAAATACAACCGACTACTTCGAGGGCTCGAGATATCTTTTATCAACGCGGCGAATCCAATTGACCAGTACCACGGATTACAGGTAAGCTGTTCATGGTGCAATAGTAGTTTACATACTCTAACAGTATTCTACGTTTTGGTAAAGATCTTCATAGGATATCACTCGTAATCCGTGAATCAGCCAAACTAAGATACCCTCTCAAGGGTCCAATTTGCACTCACCTCACTATCTGAGAGCGTGGGGAGAACGATTAGAATTATGGTAAATACCATGATTTCGGTAAATCCTGGCTACTCATCTGGGTATCCCTTGATGAATCTAGACACGTTGGTACGTAGAGTGGAGATGAAGGAAAAACAGTATAGTTCGACCTACATATGTTTCCAAAGTTAATTTAACAGTAACTAACATAATAAATAAACCCTTGAACACCGGGAAAGATAAAATCTTGCTAGTTACCAAGTAATCACAAACAAATGACAAATTAAGGAGAAGTAACTGAATCAGCCAACATAGAAAGTTTTGCTGTTCATAATCTCTGAGACGGTACAAATCGAGATACAGCAAAAGATTTAATAATTAAACTCTTACAGAAAGAACTAGATTCATGCAAATGCCAGGTAAGTGACACTAGCTGAGTGCATTGAATTAGAAGAAGCACTTATACACCACGATAATCCCTTCTCTGTTACATCTGAAACAACCGTCTCAACCTCTAGTCCGGAATTGTTCGGCGCATCGATATCCAGCGAGTCAAACCCCATAAAAATGCGAGGTGGAGAAGTGAATCCGTAGTCATGGAATTCCTGATACCACGTTCGGATGAAAACATTTTCTGACCGACTTTTGTGGTACTAAAGGTACCCTTAAAGACATCCTTTCTAGTTGCGGGATAAGCAAGCCACGTAATAATGGGTTCCAAGAAGTATTCGGTTTTGGGTTCCAGAACATTAATCACAAAACCTGTCGTAGTGACGTTGGTCGCACGCGCATGGACTTTTACTTCAAACCGCTCGCCATTATTTTCCTCGTGGGTGAAGTCAGAGAACCACACCGCGACGTGCGGTATTGCGGGATACGGGGACTTGAAGGTGACGTGAATTTCCTTAGTAGATCGTGTTTCATTCCAGGGGTAGCAATTGTAACATCTGGTATCGACTCTCCCGTGCTGAAAACCTTGTTCGCTGCCGATTTCTATCCAGTTGATCGCTACCTTTAGCGACCCCGAGCCCGAGGAGTACGATTCTGTTTGAACAGGAACGTGTATGTGATGGTCGCTGCTTGAGAAGCTGTGCTTGCGTGATACGGGAGTATTGAGCTTCAGTTTTGTGAATGTCACCGGTAAAGTTATATTATGTATTGCAGACGAATACCCGCCGGATTCCAACGGTATTTTAAAGCCCTTGAACTGGTAGAACCCGCCGTCGCAATATACACCTTTTAAAGTGGCGCTATACTTCCCAACAAACGGGTCTTTACGCAGTGCTGGCTTTGCGGCAGAATCAGCGTCGGATTTAACTCCCGTACCTATAGCCACTGAGTCTAGATATAAACTGACGATTAGACAGTGATCCAGTAGACGCTTTCCCTAGCCACCAAAACACCTGCGTCACTCGAAGTCTCGGTACAATCGGTGGCAGGTATATAGTCAATAGACCAAAAATGGCTTCTTTCTTCATTTTCGTGGACTACCCTCTCGGGTGAGGGGGTGGATATGGAGGAGTTTTGACGGGACCTGTCGGGGGAGAGGGGGGGAGAACCTTTAACGTCCGAATCATTCACCTCTTTCACTCCCTCCTCCCCGCTCTCATTCAACGCATCCTTCAACTACCCCCTCACCACCCCGTCTCAGCATTAACTATGCTGGGAGCAATTAACAAAAAATAGACTACATACGCTTGCAACCAGACGCTCAAACACCATCTCAGGCGCGGTAGACACATATTTCAAGCTCTTTACGAACTCTTGCGGCAAGCTGTCAGTAAGCGCAATAGCATTCGACTGCACTGGTAATTTGGGGGTTTAACCTTGATACTCCACCGCCAGCTGCTGCGGCGTCAAGAAGGAGCCTGTGGAGAGATGTTTCGGGGGTGTGTATGGCGTAGTGGATATCGAGCTTTTTTTTAGTATGGAGTGGTTGGGGGAGGCCATGCCGAAGATTGGTAGATGCGGTGGGGGGGGTGGGTCGGATGTTGGAGATGTTTAGATGGCCGGTGCGGAGAGCTAGAGAGGTATGTGTTGTTTATTGTTTTTACGAGTGGGCGGGCGCAAGGCCAAAGATATTTATTTCCCCCAAAACCGGCGCTTAGTCTTGCGCGGGAAGAGGTGGGTTGGATGCCTGACTGACGTAGGTAGAGTGTTTATGTTTAGTATGCATGTGAAGATATGATATTTGACGTTAGGCGCGCACTCTTGATTGGGTTGCCTGCATTGCTTTGGTGGGGTGATCATATATACATGTTCCGCTCGATTGTTCTACTCACTAGGAGTGCCATACAAAATTTGAACAGGTCGAACTAGCGTTTGTCAAGGCAGGTGTTAGGTAGGAACGTGTCAAGACGACTTTTTTGATATTTTGTGGTTTTTCTACATTGCTTCTCTTAATTCTATAGCTGTGAAAACATTTCATCAGACTACTAGAGAAGAATCTAGAAACCGAAATATAACCAGCCATTCTCAAAAAAACAAGGAAAATCTACCTTGCATGAAGTGACCGAAATAAAGGAACGAAAAAGAACAAGGAAAAATCAAATGAAATAAAGAAATGGTCCCGGATTTCCGGAAGGGAATAAGCAATTTCCCGAAATGAAGAAAAGAAAATAACGGAAAATCAGACTGGTGGGTCAGGTTTATTCCGTCGGGAACCCTGTCCCAGCAGTGTCCAGCAAATTAACAGAGCTGTCCTATTCAGAATATTAATTTACATAAATAACATCCGTACGTACTCAATTACTCTTTTGTCCATCAAGGTGAATTCGTCCGTGCCTTTGACCTCACATTGATTACCGTTAAACCTCGAATAATCCACTATCCCCGTATTTATATGTGGTAAGGCGAATTGGCGTATCAAACTTCACGGAATCGTGCAGATACACACTTTTTCTCACCCGGGGTTAGGGTTTGGCCCATTGATGTCAGATACCATTTAATGACCCCATCGAAATATTCTATTTGGGGACTCAACTATCTCGAGATATAGAGGAGAGGCGTCAATGGGAAAACATTGATTTTCCGGCGGAAAACAGGAAACCCCGGAAACAGTCAGTAAAGTCGTATTTTATCGCCTTTAACATGCCTTTAACATGCCTTTAACTGGGAATGTCGTCAGTAAAGTCGCATCTTATTGCCTCTAACATGCCTTTAACAGCTAAATGCATCAGTAAATGTGTCGGCAAACCTTTAACATAAAGTAATGCGGTTATTGCATCAAATAATGTGTATCTCGCAACTTTTTGTATGGGAAACGTCAAAATTGATACATTTCCACGGCTACTAGAGGGTCAGCCATTAATATGAGATAATCAATCAAATCAATCAATAAGATCAGCTATTAAAATTATGGCACAGTTAGTTCATGGATTATCACTCGCTATCGGTGTGAAATCACTTCATGATCAAACCATTTTTGTTTGTTCCGGTACTTTACTTTTATTTTGGTGATGGCTGCTGTCGCTGCAAAGATGGTATTCTCTAGTAAGTTGTAACTAACCCGTTGATGTCAAGTCACACTGTCTGCAAAAAAATAAAACCATCTGTTCTTTGCGAAACCATACAAGACAGGTCTGCACTACATAGTAGACATCAACTGTATTTGTCAATTCGACTGAAACCAGTTACCGTCACTTGAAGAATACTACCAGCCGACGAACAAGAGACTCTGGGCTAATATAATAGGAATGAAAAGAACCGGTGTCGGTGATCTCGCTGCTTGGCTGTTGCTTGCCCTGCTTACTTGGAATCATCTCTGTTCGTCAAGTGGTAGTATACATGCGTCAAGAGACGGTGAACAACTGTATAAGTCTCACGAGCTGGATGCCCGGGTGTTCGGTCATATCTGGTTTCTGACTTATTTAGCATCCATCATGCATATATGAATATCTCAATAATGATAAGGGGCAGGCGCGGGGGATTAAATTATATGAGCTTTCCGCGAATTACTTCTACTACCTCCATTCACAAAAAAAGAGAGACGGGATCCGACCCTGAGCATAAACACCGTGAGCCACAAGTGCAATCTGTATACAGTGTAGTGCAGTCTAATGTAGTGGCTTAGGTAAATACAAACTCCGCTCTGGCAAGATAGCAGCAGTACAAGCACCCCCCCCCCCCCCACCCACAACGAACGCCCTTAATTGATACACAGATACTCGAAAGAAAAAAGCTATTCCCAGAATCCTCTGAGGTGGCCACCCATGGGAATACCGCCCGCCACGAAGCCAGGATAGCCGCGCCGCCCAGTCACAGCGGCGGCTACCATATTAGCCAGTGCGGGAACGGTGGGAATGGCGGGAACATATGCGGATGACCGCCCATCCCCAATGGGTTGTCTGTGGTAAATACTTGGACGTGGTCCGCCTCAAACACGAGGTTCATCTTAGGCGTGTGGTCTGTCTTGGGCGTTTCATCTATCTTGGGCATGTCGTCTATTGGGGGGGTTGGCGGCGGCGGCGGTGGGGGAGGGTGTGGCGGGCACTGAACGGGTTCGCAAACGCAACGACCTACAGCGTTGGTGGTTGTGTGAGTGTTTTTCTTTCTCTCAGTAGTTCGGGGGGGGGGGGGGGGGGGGCGAGGGAGGGAGGGAAGGAGGGGCTAGGTTGGTTTGGATTGGGTTGGCTAATAGCCATGGCACAACGCACGAGTGGATCCGACTGGCCGCCCGCCGCTGTTCATGCTCGCTGCCCTAGAAGCGCCTCTTACATTCTCGGTTTGTGAACGCCAGGTTCCTGTACCCAGCAGTAAACCTCGTCGCCCCCTCGCCCACTGCCTCCGCCACTCCCGTCCCCGCCATCCCCACCGTCCCAGCACCCAACGTCCCCGTCCACAGCTGCACAATGCCAACCATGGCCGCCAGCAGTAGCAGCACGTCGGTGGCGCGCCCTCCGGCGCGCACGGCCACTGTTGCGGCGGCGCCAAAGACGGTGAAGAAGAGGGTGGTGTAGACGGTGGTATGGAGGAGAGGCGTGTTGGTGATGCGGGACTGGATGATAGTGAAGAGGACGAGGCCGAGGGTCCACCAGAGGAGGAGGCAGGGAGTGTTGGGGGTGGTGGAGGTTGTGGTTGGGGTTTGCGGTGTCTTGGAGGGGGTGGGCTTGGCTGTTGGTTTGGGTATTGTGGTTGGCTTTGGAGTCGGAGGTGCCATGGTGGGAGTTAGGGGTGCTGGTGTTGGTGCAGGTGCGGGTGCGGGTGCGGATGGCTCTGGGGGTGCCGTGGGGGGACGCAGCTGCGGGTTTGGGGTTGGATTTGGGGTGACTTGGCGCATGGCTGATCACTCGGTTGCTGCAAGGGAGTGGATTTGTAGTTGGAGACAGCAGTTGGAATCTTGACTGGTGGGTGAGATGGGGAGAGCTATAGCTGAATATATACTGCGAAGTATGTGGCAAGGACGGTACGTTTGTACTGCGTCATTCAAACAACTGGCCTCGGGAGATGGCCCTAGCTGGTAGATATAAATAAAAGTGTATCCTAGGAAATAACCCTTGGGAGTGTTCAGTCGAAGCCTATCCGTTAATAATCTTGGGAGAAACACTTTCCCCCAGACTTGGAGACCAGAAATAAGTAACTTGATATATTTGCAACCCATATTCTGACTGTTAATGGCGGAATATTCTGTCTTTCCGGCTTCTCTACTAATATGTAGCTTGTCCACCAGAGAGCACTGTAATTAAGGCAGTGCGTGTTCTGATGGCTGTAGAAAGCAAGCCATTAGATGAGAGAAGAGATGATGATGATGATGAGTGTAATGGGAATAGGACTACCAGCTTAGTTTCTAACTTATGTGGTGTAGTTGAGGACAGGTTGTCAGGCCACCAATTCCCCAGAAGTCCACAGTTGTGGAATGAGAGTGTGGAAGTCATGCATCCTTTATCTGGCCGGACAAGAAGAATAGAACTGCTTGACTGGCAGTATCTTCGTTGAAGAATCTTCCTCCCTGGTCTGTGTCTGTCGAGGTATCGGTGTACATGATGTTGGGCGTTGTGGGGTGTCGAAACACGTTGCGGAGGTTACGTGGTTGCGAGCAGTTAGGGATAGCTGTTAGGTTTGTGACCTATAAATATATGTAATGGGGGACTTCCCGTAAGCAATAGAGCACGTTCTATCGCAATAGCAGGTGGTTCTTAGATAGATCCAGTTCCCATATGTTTCTATTCGCCGGACTTGTTCCATTCATTTACTAAGGCAGATAGGGTATAGTAGCAGTGGACGTTTCCTAGTGAGTTCTGTATCCTAACAGAAAAAGGAAGGTGAAAGTACACAAAGTTCTATTCAAGCGGATAGAAAATGTTCTATCCAATAGAACTCCCCTCGAAGATGGTGCTCTATCCAGTTTCTTAGACACCAGTGTTCTATTCGACAGAAAGACAAAACAAGGTCTATTGCGCGATAGAACGTGCTCTATTGCTTATGGGAAGTCCTCCAATAAGCTAGCTGCGGCAACCGAAAAAACAACCATCACCATCATCACCGAAACCGTTTCATCCTTCCATCAACCTTCCCCATCATCATGATATCTTCCCCCCAGAGCAAATGGAGCAGGGAATGACCCCATGAATCAGAGCACAAAGTTTACCCGGTCGTTTGATACAGCGCTGTCTTTATCTCTTAATTCAAGACTGCCTTGAGCTTTGCTTTCTCGCCCTCCCGCCTGGTTATACGGTTCAATATCGGCGAGGTTCCCGGAAGAGAGCTGTACTGATGCTGAGGATGACCTGGAATTTCGGGCCTTTACAGCTGGCAGGCCGACCTCAAGTCCGGACGACAATCTATTCTGGAATATTATAAAGGAAATTAATTGAATTTAGGAGAATCTATAGAGTATTACGCCATCTATCCCATTAAAGCCATCCACTCCACTCTAGATCTATCCCCCCCCCCCCCCCCCCCCTACACTAAACGAACCCGCCCACCCCCATTCCCACCGCACCATACGTGGTCTCGACACTCCCGAAAGCTCCCCTCCCCATCCCAATTAACACTCCGGGGTTATACACTATCGGCACTGGCTCACTAATCCACTTTCCATACTCCACCGCAGGCCTCATCATGATATCCTGCAGGTCGAAGCTCAGCAGCATGCAGTACCGGTCCAGATCCAGGTTGTTCGGACCAGTTCCCCACGGATTCTCAATCTCGAGGCCAACCTCGCTCAGAGCCATCAACACATACGCCGTCACCATCGTCACCGGCACTGTCAGCCACCCGAGCGTGCGGAAGAGCTGGCTGGGCAGCACAAGGATGAACATCCACACGGCCCTCGAGATGGCAATGTTGTAGCCAAGGGGAATGGGCGTGCGCAGGAGACGCTCACACGAGGAGATGCAGGAGGTGAGCGAGTCCATGTACAGAAGCAGATGTGTAAAGACCTGGGTGTCTACGGGGCGGGTCTGCCGGAGGTGCTCGAGGTATGCTGAGATGTGGAGCGTGATCTGGATTGGGTGGTTTGCGGTATCATGGTGGAGATGGAGTTGGTGGTAAGCTGGAAGCCCCTTCAGTAGCTCCTTCAGCTCCCCAAGCTGTTCCCAGTCGCGCTCACCGCGAAGATGGTACTTGAGCGCGACAGCAAATGCGTGCAAGAGCTCAATGGCCTCTTTTTTTACCTCAAGATCGGATTTTGCCGACGGGTCGTGGTCCGCGGGGGTCTTGAGCGTTGGGATGTGCAGCCATATTGTACGCGCGATGTTGCGGGTGAGAGCCGAGATCTTGTCCCATTCCGTGCGACCCTCCCACCAGCGGGAGTAGGCGGACGTCATGCGGAAGCTGATTGACAGCGCGACGATGAACCTGTCGCTTTGTTAATATGGAGAAGATTGGGGCGAGCGAAATGGCAAGGGAAACATACCCCCATACGGGAAGAGAATTGGCGTGTGTAGAGAATATTTCTCGTTGACATCCGACGAGAGGTAGCAGATGAGCGCTGCAAAGAGGCCTGCTCCAAGAATCTATCCCTCGCACAAGATATTAGCAACTCTCCGTTATCAATCCCCCGGTCGGCGCATGCCCGGGTAGTTGCCGATGTACAACATACCTGGGGAAGATGGATTCCGCCGCCATGGACCCGTAACGAGTAGGGTACCCAGGTGGTCTTGTTCTTGCGGTCCTGCTGCAGCTTCATGCCGCGCCAGTTTGCGTCATGGAACGATCTGCGGGGTGGTGGTGGTGGGACCGCATGGCTTCAATGCTTTATTTATATGAAAAACCTTTTTTTATGATTTTACTTTGGCGTGACAAGTTGGTGTAGCTGGATTGGGATCGGATGGAACGAGCAGATAAAATGAAAAACAGACGATATCCGCATATGCCGAAACTCCTTCTTCTCTGATCGTACGGTACTGTGGACCATAACAAGCAGCAGAAAAGGAATGGAAGGATTACTACAGCCAGCATTGTGGGTGGGCTGGGTGGGTGGACGGGTTGCAGGCAAGTTATAGGCATCCATGGGCTCCCTATTCCAGCCGAAAAAATCGGGTGATTTTTTGTGTTTTTTATTTTTTCGACCTGTAACTATTCCGGGTCGTTGATATTTGAGGGGGACAGACCCCTACTCTAGGGATTCCTCGGGCCGGCATTGGAATTGTGAGGGGCGCAGTTGGGCGCTCTGGCTAGCTTTTGAGGGAATTTTTTGTACTGGACACTGGCACTTTATGGTATGGCTGGTAATATAGCTGGCTGTACTGGGCGGTTTTGTGGGGGATCAGTGATCTGAGATTTTTGAGGGTTTTTGTGTGTAGGTACACACATAGGGTACTCTACAGGGGGGGGGGGGGGGGGTTGCTTACCTAGTTTGAAGGAGGTTTGAAGGAGAAAGGAGAGAGTCGAGCGTGGGTGCGTGGGTTTGCGGGTACATACGTGGGGTTTGGGGGGGGGGGGGGCTGTTATGTATGGTACTATAGGGCGAAGTATTAAAGGCAAGGTGATGTCACATTTCGTCTTGGGCTCTGTTGGAGAATGGAGAGATATGAATGGTGCGGTTATGAGAAGCAGTCAGCTGGTGAAGGAAGAGCTTTCTGTAACTCCCTCAATCCTTCAACTCCTTCACTAGCGGCTCTCGAAATAAGTACGGACGTAACCCCAATGCAGAGAGACATGGCCAATCCTCGCGTGTTTGCTCGATATTCCCCAGCACAGATCCTCGAAACAGCGGGGGGCCGAGAAACAAAATCTCCTCCTTTCCTTCCTTGCTTCCTTCCTGCTTGCAATCAATAAGGATATTCCGAATTACATATAATCCCAAATTAATTAATCCGCAGTGGCCATCCCTCCAACCCATCCTTCCTTCCTTACTCAACCCTACAGGCTACCACAGTAAAAATTCCACCCTAGCCAGTAACAGTCAGCTGGCATGTGACAGCCCCAAACCCCTGCACCTCGCGGCTGAAAAATAACACCCTAACCCGGTTCGGCACTAGCGTACCGGTCGTGCATTATCTCCCGACGCGGCTGCTTCGCTACGTTCTGCATACAGAACCTGGTTGACTGGGCTACTCGTAACGACATACAGATTCTGCATCGTGGGGAGGTGTTCAGGCGGTACACTACATAGAGTAGAGGAGAGGAGAGGAGTGCTGGAGGGGGATATGCGTGCCGGCGCGGATTGAGGCCAGGGCTTCACGATGCTCTAGCTCTGCTGTGCTGAGGCTGCTGAGGCTGCTGAGACTGCCAATTGGTAGAGTATGGTAGGTGGAAGAGGACTGCGGTATGGGATGGGCTGGCGTTGAGGTGCTGTTGTTGTACTCTAGGTAGGAAAAGGTCAGCGAGCTCGGGCGCCACCGTGCACCGGATAATTGCATATAAGCATTTGCACTTGTAACTGTCACGCGCGAGAGAAGTTGGACCGCTCTAGCTCTCGAATTATATAGAGTAGAGGATGGGGGGACACATGTAGGATACATGTAGCTAGGACAGGTTGGAAAGCGATAGATCGAGATAGAGCACAAATGGTAGGGAAGCGAGCGTAGCTCATCCAATCGGGTTCTCTCCAGCTAGATAGGGAACCTTCTATCAGCATCATGTACAATAGAGTATGGACCCGGATTGAGGGATTGTGCTTCACAAAGTTGGTAGAGTAGAGCTGGATGGAGTTGCTAGTTGTGAGGTTGTGACTCGTAGAGTACAGCGTGAGGTAAAATTATTGTAGAAGTATGAGAAGAGTCCTATTGGCCTGTTTCTACAATAATTTTCCCTCTCGCTGTAGAGTTCTGGGAATCAAGCGCCACCGGACGGATAAGCAGTGCAGTTGCATTTATATTATTTACACTGTCACGAGATCGAGAGCAGCATTGAACAACTTCATCCCACTGTGACCTTTATCGATCCAGATTGTTAGTAAAAGGCCGTGAGAATACTGACTGTATTCCGAACTAACTGTCCCGGCATAAGATAACCGCCCCTGAGACTTCTATCAAAGAACTCGCAGATGTCTTTTATACAGGACAGCAGGATGGAACACATATTGGAGGACACATAACTAGGACACATATATGCGCCCTGTTAGGATACGTTGTGACCTATATGTAGCTGTTACCAAAAGGAAGTGTGGCTCAACTCGCGATACAAATAGAGCTCGAGAGGAAAGAGCATTTGTCCCCCCCTCTCAATAAACTTGTTTCATCCAACCAGGTTCTCTCCAAGTAAGAAAGCTTCACTTCCAGTTCCCCGGGAAATTCTTCAGGTCCTAGGATGGTGGATTGAGGCATTAGGAGTTCACGATACGTAACGTCGCTGGTAGATACTAGATCTAGAGTGAAGATATGAGCCGGAGTTGTTGCTAAGAACGCCACGCGGGGAGCAACCCAAGCCAACAACAACTTACTCTAACAACCTAACAACCTAACAAGCTTTCTTCCAACTGCCTTCTCTCTCTCCCTCCTTCCCCCCTTCCCCTTCCCCTTCCCCTTCCCCTTCCCCTTCCCCCCTCCCCTTCCCCCCTCATCCCTCCTAGTCCCTCCCTTTCCCCCGCGCACCACTGCCGTCCAACGGGTGTTAGACTGTTATGTAGTTGTGGAGCGGCTCTCGATCTCTCTTATACCGCCTTCAATTCCTACTGGCTTTTTCTTCTTTCCTTTTTGGCTCGATCACCTTGTTGGCTAGCTTGGTAGTATATTTTTCTTTTTCTTCTTCTCTCTTTCTACTGACGCTATGACCTTCTCGTAGGTTCTGCGCAGGAAGGGATCCGGAAGAGGAGGGAGGAATGGAGGGAGGGAGGGAGGGAGGATAATAGGGAGGCGCTTCAGGGCTGTCTTTCTCTTCTTCTTTCCTTTTCTCTTCTCTTCTCTTCACCATCACCATCACCATCTCTGTGCTCGGTCGGGGCTCCTTAATTGAAGCAGGTGAGTGAAGACCGTAAGTATCATATATCGTGTATCGCGATTGTGCTTGTGTACCCGTCCGAACATCACATCACATCACATCCATCCTCACATCCCTTACTTGCACGCATCCCACGTTACTTCCCGCGCCCTGCGTCTCATCTCCGGGTTTTTCTGCCCTCTCCCCCCTCCACCAACAGGATCTGCACCGCGCGGAGCAAAGGAAGTGAGGAAGTGAAACAAAAACGTCTTTTTCGACAAGACAATGGAGGATGTTGGACATATGCACGATGAGACAACGCGGCTGCTGGACGTTAATACCCCATGGCGGACGGGGTATTTTGCAATTGGAGAAGAGAGAATGGAAACAGGAATTGCAGACATGACAAGATCAGTAGCAGCAGAGGGAGAGGAAGAGAGGTTTCCGACAGCACAGCTGTGTGTTCTCGGTATGTTATTCCACTATCTCCCTATATATATCCTCTCAATCGTCCATCACTATAAAAATCAACAGCTAACAACCCCCCAGCATTCGTCCGAATCATCGAACCTATAACCTTCACCTCCGTACTCCCCTACATCTACAGCCAAACTCGCTATCTTCTCACCACCCCCTCTGACCCCCATCCCACGGGCTCGATAGCGCTCTACTCCGCGCTCCTCATCTCCTCCTTTGCCTTCAGCGAGACGCTCACCTCCCATCTCTGGGGCACTCTCTCCGACAAATATGGCCGCAAACCCATCATCCTTATCGGTCTTGCCGGCTCCCTACTCTCCCTCCTCCTCTATGGTCTCGCCCCCAACATCGCCCTCGCCATGACCGCCCGCATCCTCGGTGGCCTCCTCAACGGCAATGTCGGCGTCCTGCAGACAGCCGTTATGGAGCTGACTGGGGCGCGCGAGGACTGGCGCGCGAAGGGGCAGCTAGTGCTGCCGTTTGTTTGGTGTCTGGGGAGTATCATAGGCCCTGCGATTGGTGGGGGGTTGGGCCCTAGCGGGCGTGAAGGTGAAACCGGCAGCGGAGACAGCGTGGAGATGGGGGTGTATCAGCTCAGTGCGGGGGTCCCATTGATAATGAGGTTCCCGTACTTATTACCCAACATTGTGTGTGCGCTCGTGGCGCTGATGGGGATTGTGGTCGGGTGGCTGTGGATGGAAGAGACGAATAAGGCGGCCACTAAGGACGATACGGGTCTTGCTGTCGGCCGCTACATTCTCGAGGGCCCTAAAGCGCTGTTGGCACAGCTGCTGAAGCGTGCTGATACCACACCGCCGCCCGCAGACGTCGGGGATGAGAGCAATGGTACGAAGGAGGGAGACGACGACGAGGCGGACAGAGTAAGTGTATATGAGTCCAGCGCACTCACTACCGCGAACCCGTCGTCGTCCACATCGCTATACGCCTCTCTCTCCGCCCTCGACTCCACTACAAGCACCCTAACCGGCTCCACCTCCACTCTCCATACCTCAGCAGACAAACCCGCAGCAGCAGCAGCAGGGAAGAAATCAATCTACACTCCCCGCTTTTACTTACTCATGGCCGGCTTCTTTATCCTCTACTACCATACGACGGCGGCCGAGCACCTCCTCGCCATCTTCCTCCAGTCCTCCCCGCTGCCGCCTCTCTTCCCCGGCACCGACATCGGCCTGCTACCCGAGGGCTTCGGCTTCAACACTCACTCCATGGGCGTTCTATTCCTCATCCAAGGCGTCTTCCAGATGACTCTGCAGTTCACCGCCTTCCCCTTCCTCGCGCGGAGGTGGAGCAACATGACGATCTACATCGCAACACTGTGTCTGTATCCTCTTTTCTACGCCTTGATGCCACTGCTGGTACTGTTGACGCCGGGGTCAACAGTGTTTTATAGCTGCCTGGCGGGGCTGCTGGCAATGAAGGTGGTGCTGGAGATTACATGTTATCCGGCGCTGTTCCTGGTGCTGTATGAGACCGCCGTTACGGGGCCAGGGGGTGCGGCCGCGATGGGCAGCGTGTATGGGTTGAGTGCTGCTGTGGCGGGGGCGGCGAAGGGGGTTGGACCAGTAGTGACGGGGTGTGTGTGGAAGTTGGGGGTTGGCGGAGGCGGGGTGGGGTGTGCGTGGTGGGCGTTGGCGGGGATGGGGGGGTTGGGATTGGTAGGTGCTGTGGGGCTGGTTGTTGGTGGTGAGGGGAAGGGGGGAAGGGCGTGGAGGAGGAGGTGGGGGTGGAGGTCTAGAGGGTGTTTTTGTAGATAGGGTGTTTTTTTTATGGTGTTAGCGTGGTGTATTGGTAGTTTGTTTCTTTCTTTATTAGGTTTATGTAGTTTAGGTTGGGTTAGGACATGTATTTTCAGGCACGGTATTAGGTAGTTCGTAGTAATATACAGATTCGCGCGTGCTACTGATAATTGTCCTTTACTCCAAACACTTATCTGATGCTTGTTACTATTTGACCACCATTTGGGCGCTTGTTACTATTCTTCTACTATTCTTCTACTAATTTGTGGAAGGGCTAGGGTTGGACTACTAATCGCCATGTGGCACTGGTTTATTACTGCTTTTTCGACAGACATGGGGTGTCACTCGTCCAGTTCATCTACCCATCCTTTTCATCCCATCCCATCCCATCCAATGGTCCCCCCGTACGACTCATTTCTGTGGTGTCAGGTACAGCGCATTGGTCTAATCCTCTCATCCGTACATCTAGTCTATCTAATCTATCTCATCTATCTAATCCGTCCATTCATCAATCCATCGAACCCATCATCCATCCATCCATCTATCCAATCCATCCATCTATCCAATCCATCCATCTATCCAATCCATCCGTCCATCTATCAATCCGACTAATCCATCGTGCCATTCATCTCATCCTGTCAAACTCCACGTTCCATCTCCATACAGACTACATGTAAGGCTACACACACAGCCACAAGTTCTACCGACACAGCCATCCATCTCATTCATCCATCAACCACCACTCATCCCACGTAACACCACTCGAGCCTGTACCATCTCTACCCAAAATATCCCCGCCGTATGCCTCATCAGCGGCGACAAACTGAAAATATCGAATCCACGCGCATTTCCCCACCGCCGCAAAAAAAAAAAAAAAAAAAACGAGCACGCACAAACCACTACCATTTCGAGGAGACAAGCTATGAGTAGCAAAAGAAAAAAGAAGGAATTGCTCCAGTAGAGATTTGAACTCCAGATCTTCGCATTACAAGTGCGACGCCTTACCCCTTGGCCACAAGAGCGGTGACAACCGGATCGTCAGCGGCGGTTGTAACAAGCAACAAGCTTCCTGCAGCAGCAGAGGCCGGGATTAACCCGAGAACGGAATAGCCGGTTTTGGGGGGGAAATGTGTTCAAGCAGAACATCTTGAAAAAACCTCACAGGAATTCGAGATGCCCGCGATGGGAAAGATGAATATTTGCAGTAAATAAGGGTGGTATAAAATAGCGCCGTTGGAGGTGCGGAGGTTTCTTTTCGGAAAATTAGTAACCACTCACAGCTTATCACCCGCCTGCAAACTAACCGCTCACAGTTTATCACTCACCATCACAGCGTTAGTAGGTACTTTAGAGTATCAATCATCACCACCACCCGCACCCGCTAAACAACCAATATGCCATCCAAACCCCAAACACTCTGCAAATGCACCCTCACCGCCACCACCACACCCACCTACACCGCGACCTTCTCTCCCGGCTGCACACACTGCGCAGCCTGCATCTGCGTGCCGTACACAGCACCACCCGGAACAGAAGACCCGTGGCTGGAGTACCATGCGCTGAATGCGAAATGTAGGTTTTGTTATCCTGTGGATGCGGCGGGGAGGAAGAGGGATCGGGTGAGGAGTTTGTTGGCGAGGTTGGGGATTGGGGGGAGGGAGAAGGGGGTGAAGGAGTTTATTTATGATTTTTGAGAGGTGGGGGGGGGGGGGGTTTGTGTGTGTCTGCGGGTGCGTGGGAAGATGGAGGATGGAGATAGTTGGAGTAGACTTAAGTCGAATTGAATCTAATTAAACTTCATCGAGTTGATTAAACTCCTTGAACTACGACGTAATTAAAATACGTACGCTTCTCTAACCTGAAGCTCGCAGCCAGCCCTCCTGTAAACCTCCAATAGAGGACAGGTACTAGTACAAGTATAGGGCCAACACTTTCCCCCTATTTAATTCCAGGAAGAAGCACGTACAAGTGGCTTTTTATTCATTCCCCGTGGCGCAATGGTTAGCGCGTTCGACTGTTATCGTTTCATCTTCTAATTCTTGGTTTCAACCATCGAAGTCTTTGAAGGAAATGCAATCGAGAGGTTGACAGTTCAACCCTGTCCGGGGAAATTTGAGTCTTTTTTGTTTTGTACCATACTCTGGAGGGTGAAAGAACTTGTTCTGTGTGGGTTTGTGGTGTCGGATTGTCTTTCTTTACTCTTTGTTTAGGGCGGCGAGGAGTATTATTGAGTGCTTAAGACTTCATGCACGTACTCCAGAAATCAATCAATCAATTAGCTTACACTGGGTTTGGTTAGCGGACGAGTTATTTAGTGTGACTACTCCGCAAAGTTTCTCCGATATTGCGAGCTATAATTCCTCCTTAGTGTGGTCCACGAGGACGCTCGAGGCGCGCGAGGTTTGGGGGTGTTCTCGAGGTGCCTCGTCCTCGTTGACCTCTGTCCTTGTCTGTCCTCGAGGTCCGGGACTGTGCTCCTCGAGGTGCCTCGAGGTACCTCGAGGACGATAAAGCGATGACCCGGTAAACCAAAAAGGTGATATTTCTCAAAATGAAGGTAGACTTTATTCATGACCTCATCTGATTAGGGCATAGTAAGTGTGTATTATAGCCAGGAATTGTCCTTGAAAGTTCTCGAGGCGAGGTCAGATATTGTCCTCGAGGTTCCTTGTCCTTTTGGACCACTGTCCTTGTGTGTCATCGAGGACCTGTCCTCGTGAACCACACTGTTCCTCCTGATAGAGGCAACTTTTCCACTTATTCTAAGTCTTGAATACCTATAAACTGAGTGCGGGATGCATCTACAGAGGCCCTCGAGAAGGTTTCGTCAAAATACATAGAGATACAAACCTGACCCAGAGGTTGTACAGCCTGTATCCGGAAGAGGGTGTTATATAGATTATCTCGGCATACAAGTATCTACTCTAATAATCTGGCTGCAGGTATATTTTAATGGTTAAAATATTAACAGTGTTTTCGTTCTACTAATTAAGTATCATCTCTTCCAGATGGGATTCATGGGATTTTTGTTTTCGTTTAATTCATTAATTGCATGCAACCTTACAGTTATGGCAATATCCCCAGAACTACCCTACTGCATCCACCACCACTTACAAAGAAATAAATGGGAATCATGGGATCTGTATGTGTTTTTCCTCTCATGACCTTGAAAAAGGCAGAACATGTAGCTAGACTAAGATCATTTTATTTAATAACGTCACGGTGTGAATATTGAATATATGGATACTTCGACTTCTCTTTTCGACTCTGGTATGAGCAAACCGGTTGGTGCCTTCGAGTGTTGTGTTTCCCGTGAGTTTCAACAGGGGAACTTCCATGGCTCTGATGAAACAAGTAGGACAGTTGCACGGATTACACTTCAATCACACCCTAGGGTGTTATTTTAATATGTACTCATTTTCAGGTGAGGCTTCGAGCGGCCGAGTGATTTGGCGTGATTAGGCCGATTTCCCCCCGCCCGAAAAGCGATATTCTTTGTGTAAGGTATCATCTGGTCTGTGAGTTATCACTACTCCTTCCAATCACAAATGTAACACAGTTGTAATCATTGTTCTCAAAGTAGGGCTGGAGTAAAGTGGAGGGTAGTAGGCCGAGGTTTAGGTGGCCGACTCGACGATCAAATTTAAAAATATAATTCTTCTCCAAACACTTTTGGATATGAATATCCGAATAAAAAAGATAATTGGGGCCTGACAGTCCTGAACTGATACATGGCCAACCAACGATTTAAGTCGAACTGAGAATATGATATACAGGGATACCGACATTATTAGTTTAGGCTGCTTATACAGTCGACCCATACATAAATAATATATTGGCAGAACCGTCCAGCAAATCCTCTTTGCGATCAATTCTCTATCAATGTCTAGGTCACGAAAATCCCACCAGCTCACAGTGGCATCCGACTCTAACCAGGCCTCAATCGCATGTCTCGAGTGTAGAAGCCGTGCAGAAAATCAATACCTTCCTGTTTAAACTTGTCTAATATGACTTGGTATGATAAATGACACATACTATAGCTACCGTAAGTTAGAAGTAGGGGTTCCTTGCGTATATCTAAACAAGGCGGAACATCCACCGGGAAGTGCGACACCTATCCTAGAGCAGCAAGTAGAGAGGACAGTACCGCTATAACTCGAGAAATTGGCTGTGCATATGAGATCAGGGTTACTATAAGCGGACCTGATCTACACCCTTCAACCAATCGTTAAGGGGATAATCCCTGGCCGGAGATAGCCAATCCACCGAGTTTTTGCGGTACTCCCACAGACATTTGACCTTAACTTTGGTACTATACTTGTATCTTCCCGCAGATGGCAAGAACATTCATATTAATATCCCTATAGCAGGTGCAATCAGTACATGCTGTCCACTCGGCTCGGAGATCCCAAAGTGATTCTATCATGATCTACACAGCCTAATTAAACTCTTTTCTCACCAGTGCCAGCTAATACTTGTATATATAATGTTCCAATTAACTTTGGATTGCTTGGCCGCGCACAAACCGCCTTGACTAATATGTTCTGTATCAGGCTAAAGCCCGAATTTCAATCTGGACTGGCTATCAGGGAATAATAAACGCCGAGAGTCGCTTCCTGAGGCTACTTTCACAGGTGGCGTGGCCGAGTGGTCTAAGGCGCTACGTTTAGGACATTCGTGTCAAAACCGTAGTTCGAAAGAGCGCGAGTTCGAATCTCGCCGCCATCAATCAATTAGATAGGGGATCAACCCTCTTCAACTTTTTATTATTTAGTACAGGGAATGGTGGGGGATTTTTTCCCGCTATTTTACTCACAAGGTATCACTCGATTGACCGCGAGGCGGTCTAGCAAGTGGTCCATCTGCGAACCCCCAGGAATGTTTAACTTACCGGAAAAAAGAATTCTTAGAATCTTGAACAGACACGACGGAACACCGTCGGAGATGTCGGCTGTATTTTCCTATAAGCATCTAGGTTCGTACGGTCTCTCTCTGCGCAGCAGTCGTATCCAGATTTTATTAAAATCCCATGATATATTTCCAATTCCCTCATCAAGTATCTGCGTTCATGCCATCTCAAATACACCTCGCAACCACAAAGCATAAAATAACCTCGAATTAATGGTAAAAAGAAAAGAGGAAAGTTATCTAACATAACCGGTTGCTACTTACTTTTGCTTGTGGCCGGTTGAGGTGTCGTTCTCGCCTGGAGCTACTGGACTGGTTGGTCTGTCCGTCTACTTGTAAAGGCACATATATGTAAACCGCGCACAGATCACGGATGGAAGCATTGGAGTTAAAGAAAGAATCGGGCTCGGGACCTATAAGATACATATAACATGCCTATTCGGAGCTGAACGGGACCTCCCGTCCCACATTCATTCCAAAGTTCGAGTGATATTCCATGACCACAACAACAGCTCCTAGAACTCACATCTCATATTCTTGTATTAACAGAATTTGGAATACGAGCTGCGCAGTAAGCCACAAAAGTGGGCTTTTTGACTTGATATGAAAAACTCGCGCACCGAGTCTTGTTAAAAAGGCCTCCACTATAGACCGTAAAGGTACTCATGTCTTAGGCGCCATTCGCCGGTAACCTATATAGAAAAAATATTAGCAGTGTATAAAAGAAGTTAGACATATCGGCAGGAGCGCCTGCAACACCCGGAACCAACCACCCATATCCCACGCCGGTCAAACCAATAAGCACTAGCCAGCCCAACTAGCGCACTTGCGCACATCCAGTACCAACCCACCCGCGTGCGCACGCCATAGCCGGGGCAGTAATGACTCGTGCTCTAACTTCCTTCTATCCGAAAGACACCAATAATCTCAGCCCCTGGCCCGGCCCCGGGCCTAAATTCTGATTCTGACCGCCGATAAGCGCTGGAGCGGCTATCAGACACATTTCGCCATCTGGGGGTCCAGCGACCGCGATGTTGGTTGGTGTTTGAGCACAAATTGGGGGCTAGCTAGGTGCTGACATGATGTGCGTTAGCCGTGTGTCACGTAATCATGAATGGCGGTTGGTTGCGGCGTGTTCATGGGGTATCACTCGTTGGTGTTTGGGAGGGATATGGATAACCCTTATCCATGCTGACGTTGTGGGTTGAATGTAGAAAGTACAGAAGAGCATCAAGATGAGAGGTTTTCTGCAAGTACTTTATCAAGTATACTCACTTGTGTGATGAAAATGGGGTGCTCTGTAGCGGTTCTTGAAAATATTTGTGCCTGATAAAAGCGGTGCGGGCTGCTCCACTGTTAGTCTTCACCATCGATTGATTAAGCCTTATTAAACACACAGTATTTATACCAAAGACTAAACTGCTGACTAGAAAAATATCAATTAACAAGAAAGACTCTAAATACTTACAACTAACCACCATGACTAGGCCCCGCTCCCCCACACAGTCCGAGATCGAACACATCCTCCATGCGAACGATATTGAATTCACCAACTTCATCGACTACCACTTCTCCGTCTATCCCACCTCCGAAGATGAAGCCGAAATCAAAGCCGCATACAACATCACCACCGCCGGCAATGACAACACCACATCAACTCCAGCGCCACCTTCCGGTGCCTCAGCCACTTCCACGGACACTTGGGTCGACCGCACAATTTACATGTACTTCCACCCCGTGGGTCAAATCTGGCTGCCATATCCTCCAGAGGGGGTACCGCTGGCAGAAGATCTGTATGCCGTTGAGAAATATAGAGAAGGTAGGGACGGGGTTCAGAGCTCGAAGAATCTTTTTGATAGACTGGTAGACCTGGGGATTCGGGCCCTGGTAAGTGCTAAGAGGCGGAGGTTTGAGACGAGGGGTGAAAGTGCGGGAGAGCCGAAGAGGGTAGGGAGGAAGTTGACAAAGAGGAGGCCAGAAGGTGGAGACGGGAGGACGATGTGAGGTGGTGCAAGATAAGTTAGTGGTGTGTTTTGAGGTGAGATGATAGGAACGATCAAGTATTTGGAGAATGGAGAGATTATTCGTTTAGATGATATCGTGATGGACCTACTCTAGTATGTCTGTTACACCGAAATTTTAACCAGAAACCTTAAAACCAACCGTTAAACCGTGTATCGTGGATATCCTCCACACAATGGCGCAGGCCACATAAAATAACACGAACCCGAAAAACTAAAATATCAGAGCTCAATATGATATACTATAAGTCCATTAGCAAACAAAGCTTATATCCCGCATTGCGATAATACATCCCCGGCGGGGACAGATGAAGGACTCTTAAGATCCAGATATACTCCCCGGTTTTGCATCGAGCGGCCTTGAAGAGGTGATCCTCATTTTAGGTTGTTCGACGTTATTTTTATGTCGCAGATGGTACCCCAGTTTTAAACGGGGTATCCCATTATTCCCAGCTGTTGCTCCTTTCGGTGTTGCCGCCAAGTTTTCGCACCACGTTCCTGCATAATTATGTCCCGGTACTACGTATGTAGCCTTATCGCCGCTACCTTGGTGGACAAGGCATAACAACCAGGAATTGCTCGGCTGACAGACAACATGCTGTGACCGCGAGTCTGTATAACGCTATCCGTCTCGAAAAGAACCATTCCAAACAACCACTGAAGTACGAAACATTCCCAGTCCATGCGGACTTCCGTGGGGCTCATCATCATGGGGAAAGAGCTACTTCGCATGCGCGATTGTAGTTATTGGCAATGATCATATAACCTACTTAATTCAAAACATTACCAACCCTCGCCAGCAAATGATGAGGCTCCAGCTGAAAGAATCCCTGGCGACATGTATGCACTGCGCCTTCCCGGTGTCTTCTTTAAAGTTCTTATATTTAGCCGACCCAGCCGCATAGAAGAATTCGCGATCTTTAAGCCCACGTTGCCTTGTATATGGAGATGCAGGACCATGCGCGATCAACAGATCGACCCTGACATAGCCCTACAATGGACACCAGCTATGCAACTACGCAAGGTACTGGCAGGTATAAATACTTATCGTCCCCCCGCGCTCGCGCTCGCGCTCGCGCCCACAAAGTAACCATTCCCCAGAAAACCTCACCAACCCCCTCCCCCTAAAATGCCAAAACTCGTCCGGCTCCTCCCACTCTCCCTACTAATAGGCGTAACCATCGCAAAATCCCTCTCACTCACCTACTGGGAATATGGCCCAGCATATCAGATCGGGCTCCAACTCTCGCTCGGCACCCCCAGCCAGATTGTATATCTCATACCCTCCGTGAACGACAACGAGATCTTCCTTGTCGGTCCCGATGCCTGCGCCCCCGGCTGCGAAACTCAGTTAGGCGGTCAATTCAGCACCTCCAATAGCAGCACATGGCGTCCAACCACAAACGTAACGATCGGCAATGCTGGCGCTCTCGACTGGTGGAATGGAAGCCAGGTGGAATATACGCTAGGGTATGAGCGGGGCCAGTTTGATTACTTGCCGGAAACAAGTTTCTCAAATCTAGGCCTCGAGATCGCGGTGCTGAACAACCGTTCGCAGGATGACTGGATTCCGCTTCAGAATACACTGGGGCTTGGAAGCAACTCGACTTTTCTGAACAGCCTAATGAGGAACGGTGTTATTGAGTCGCGATCATTTGGATTGCACGAGATGAATGTCGACCTCGGCAGCTTTGACGAGTCGCGTATCGTAGGGCAGCGATACTCGTCGCCCATCCTCCAGAATACGGGCTACCTCGGCGGCCTCCAGGTCACAGTGACAGATATGTCAATAAACGGGAGGTCCCTCATGAATCGGACAAGTGGGCCTTTTAACGCGACCCTGGGATTGTCGACAACGAGGCGGAGTTATGTTCCACAGGTTGTGGCGGAGGATTTTTATAATATAACTGCCGCAGATGCTCCCACGAACTGGAGTAAATTCGATGAGCCTGTGTGGAACCAGGCTAGGTCCTCGTCGACGGAGCCGTTTATGCTGGTAGTGAAACTATCAAATGGGGCGACTTTGAATGTAGACAGTTCCTCATTAAAGCGCGCGATTTTTGAGGAGAAGGATACGGAAATGTATGGTTATGTAAATGAGTATTATACGTATGGGGGTAGTAGAACTCAGTATACGAAGAGCAATATGGTAGGGATTGATTTGCTGGATGCGGAGGTAAAGGCAGATAATCCGGGTATTGAAGCGCTCTTTGGGATGGATTTCGTGTCATACCAAACTTATCTTTATGTGGATTGGGATAAGCAGGAGTTTGAGTTGGCAGCGACGAAGGATCTTAATGGTTCTGCAGGTGTAGTTCAGATCAGTTGGCGTACAACCTGGGCGGTAGTATTTCTTTCAGTGGCAATGGTCATAATGTTTTAGGCCTAATCCTCTGCCGGCGCTTTCGGCAAATGGGCTTCATGTGTGACGAAACATCGAACATTTAGCGGAGTTTTTATTTTGAATCCCTATAGAATTATTAATTTTGAGTGATATCACCGAGAACCATAACAAAATAAACAATAGTGAGAAAGATCAAAAAAGGGTACGAGCTTTCGGGGTACCGTGGCGTTGAAGCATCTCTTTCTGTTTGCCAATTTTATCATCCTATGCTGACTTTCAGCTTTTGTCAAAAAGAGATGCTATTGAGGATAGGCCTAGTCGCATTGTGAGCTCGGCCCCGACACCAGGAAGGGGGGAAGGTGTAGAATGAAGTAGTTGCTCACTGATTCTGAGCTGGGGCCTTGGGATAAGTGTATTGTGGTCTGCATTTGCAACAAGATGAGCATGTCTTCCCCAAGGACTACACTCCAAAAGAATGAGCTCATAAGTTCTACTCTCTGTCGCAGATAAAACTAGGTAATGATCATCCTCTGAAGCCAAGTGTTGGAAAATTGATCACAAAACCTCACCCGACCCCGATTCCCGACCCAACTCCCTCCACCGTATCCACCCCACCCCGTTCCCCCCGTTCCACACCCGGACAGCTCTTACTCCTCCAACAATCTAGAACATCTCCGGCTCTGTCACCTACCAATAAACATTGATTTGTTTCCACTAGCCCGCTCTCGCCTACTACGGGGATGTTCGGAAGCCAGTATTGAAGCCTTATTCGGGCTTGGTGATCTACTACAAATTATATCAAGTTAGATCAATAGTTGCACAGCTGCGGTAATTAACCCCCCTTGACGTCGATCATAGGGGGCAACCGGCCGCTCAATACGTACAATACCTAGGGGGTGTGACAACAACGACCAGGTACCAAACCGAGCTGAGAGTTGTTGTTTCCTTCGCAATTAATATCACGATGCGATACGTATCAACCACCGGAGCATACTCTCGCTGTGGAAACCCTAGATGTCTCAACAGATTCAAACCCACAGACCGCTTCCTTCGTCTAGACATGGCTCAATTCGTGCAGGACTGTTCCGACAGATTGGGTATATATCTGGATCTGAACCCAGGATGTTAACGACAGGCTATAACAGGTGGATAGAACTTCCGGAGAACAGAGCTTCGTGCTCTGGTAAGACCATGCAAAGTAGATGAACCCTGGAAGGTCTGTGTTCGATGAATTTTTCTTTCCCCTAGCTCTGCAGCAGAGTCTCTCACGGGCGGTTTTAGAAGGATTCCCGTGTTCGGAAGATAAGGAAACGCTTCTACAGGCGGAGAAGGATGGAGATCGATCGGGCGTTGCTGAGAAATGAATAATCGATCTGGCCCTTGGCGATTAGTGATGGATGTGCGTGAGTAAAATTCTTTAAACAGAGCAGGTACACATCTAATAAGTATATAATTATAACCTGCATATGCAATGTGCTTTTATAGTCTTCTGATTGGTTCATTGAGAGATGTTTTTGTTTCACTTGAAACATGTTGTGTTGGATATTAACATAGGGTATTGTGCTGAGTGGTGTTAGAGTGTTAATATAGTTTCTACTGGTTCTGGGAATCGATAGTGGTTCGATTTTAGCGGTTTGGTAGCTGTTAAAGGGATATACCTGTAGCCCTAACCGGAGAAATTGTCTGACTTATCCGTTGATATATGGGGATAATATATCAGAAGAGTCACATATTGACCAGATCAGATCTAGATATAGTGATGGACTTTGCCTGCCAGGAGGGGTCGAGCCCCGACTGACAGGCAAATAGACAAATAAGCCTGTATATTGGACTAATTGATATACATATAGTACCGGCCGAAGGCTGGAAACTACTTGTAGTGTGTAACATGATGTACTCTAGACTAGGGCGCTTAGACTAACCGACTTTGAGATATAATGTAGGTCTTTAAAAACGGTAGAACTTTAGAATTAGGAATTACGCTTCAAGAAGAGAAGATACCCCACAAACCTCGTGAGAACACGTACATGTTAGTTATGCACCACCTCGTATAATTGTAATCATTTTACTTGGTGCATCGAATCAAAATCAGATGGCTGCGACTTCAATATCAGTATCACCATCCTTCTTCGGTTCATAATCCTGGCATAAAGTGTCTAGCTCGAACGATACCGAACAATACGAACCTGCAGTAATGGTCAGAGCCAATCGAAAGCAACAGACGCTCGGGATCTTCAAAATACGATTGACAGCTTAACCGTTCCTTACCGTCCCTATCCATGTTTATAATCAAAGCTAGTAAGCCCGGGGCACCAGTGTTTGGCTTTATCCCGTTGTGCCTGTTTGCTGATGGTGTTCATCCCATCAAAGCCGTGAATTAATCAGAACAAAGTGCTACACACAAGTCAGAATCAACGGTACACAAATCCATCACACCGGCACGGAGGAGCAGTCATGAATTAAGCCAGGGGGCCCGGGAATGCCCAGGGCCCAACACCGTGGTCGGCCTGCATGCCCGTCCGTGGTTTGAAACCTTTGAAGTTTGTATGCGAGTGGACACTTTTTGTTTTGTTTATCGATCCAGGGTCCTGGGACAGGTGACAATGTTGTTGAGTTGATAGATCATAAATGGGGCTGCTAATTGGCATACACTTGGCGTTGGTAGATCCTTTGAAACCCAGGTTCATCTCTGGGGTGAGTGGTATGTACTCTAGAGCATCGTGGGGTACCCCAGCCAGAGCAGATTTGGGATTGCATCTTACCGAGCACGAAATTCGAGGTTACGCACATAAGAAAAGCGCTCATCATCTTTCAGCCTCACTTCGTCAGCTGATACCCTTCCTACATACATGTAGAGTGGCTACTCTAGAGTACATGCAACTCCACACGCACCCTCTGTTCTAGGTATTTTACCTACCCTAGCTTGCTGTACTCTATGTACCTGAGGTAAAGCATCGTCTTGGTACTCGTTTACCACGAAAAGAACCAGTTGCTCAGGGCAAGGATTATTTGTATGTGGTGGCGGTGATCTCTCATACAAATCATTACTGTTTCCGTCACTTGCAATTTTTGGCTCTTACCCTGGTATATGGTGGGCGTTGTTGGGCACATTAGGTGTCACGGATTAGGCAGCGTTCACGTGACGACACAGACAATGCTTTTGTAAGGTGTCCACAGCAGGACTACCTCATAGTTAGATTTGTAACTTACTCTTCTCCTCTCATCCATCATCATTCATTTTGTCGTCGTCGATAGCGCAAAATGAAATTCTCCCTCTGTCTATAGAACTAAGAAATTATTTATTTCATCGTTCGGATCGTCGTGAATCTAAACACAAAAGAGAGTGAACACAATAGCCGGCCAACAACGTGGTGACCCCTTCGTTCTCTGCACTCCTCAAAAAAAAAAAAGAAAAGAAGGGTGGTTGGCGTTTTGTCGTTTGCAGTCTCATCACAGTACCTGCATACAACCCCTCATCGCCCGCATCCCCGAAGCAAACGGAATCGGCCTCACCGCTCACCGCATCATCAAAAGCAAACGAAACCTCCGGATCTCGCTCAAAATTACCAAAAGTGTCATCAACCAAACGAATCCCCGCACCTACGTCGTCAAGGGCGAACCGACGGAGGCATCATACCCGAACAACTATACGTAATATCAGGCAGATGGTCCATCCACAGACGGACTCTATTGAAGCCACTGCCTTACCAAGCACGAACAGCACCCCCTCCCGAAGAGCTCATAAGCCAGGGAATTCCCTCTTAGACAGACCTTTCTTTACTACAAACCAAGCACCCTCCTCCTCTAGTTCTGAAAACGAAATGGCCTCTATCTTCGTCGAATCAGTGCCCGCCAGGACCTTCAGTGGGCGCCCTGGAGAAAGAGTCGAAGCCTTCATCGAATCCGTGATCCTCAATTTTGAGCCCAAAGAAAAGCTCTATGCCGCCGGAAGAAGAGACGCCGCCAGGGTGGCAATCCTCAGTGCGAATCTCCGCGGAAAGGCGGCCAGATGGCTGGAAAGACAAAACGAAGAGGTAGCCTCCTCGTGGAGCGAACTCACCGAAGCCCTCAAGAAGAGATTCAACAACAAGAGCAAGAGGGATGAAAGGCAAAGACGTGCCGAGAACGCAGTCACCAATCTCAAGCAAGGGAAGCTCACGCTAAAACAATACATACGCAAGGCGGAGAGGGTTAACATGGACCTCCCGATGGCGTCTGACCTCCACAAGTCCGCCGGTAGAAGGTTCTACGTGGGCCTGGCCCGCGAGCAGACCCGGTGTAACTTCCTCAGCCTTGGGAAGTTCGACATCAACGACGACTACACCCTATCACAAGCCATTGAGGCGGCGAAGAAGGTGCTCGCCACCGGCACCAGGGAGCTAAGCGGGCGTCGCAGTGGCAGCGAGAGTAGTGATGACGACACGAGCGACAGCGAAGAGGGCTCAGACTCGGAGGAATTCAGTGAAGTGGGGAAGGAGAGCAAGAGGAGGGTAGGAGGCAGCAAGATTAGGGAGGCATTAGAGAAGGAGAGGAAGGCAAATAAGGCCCTCGTGGAAGAGAAGAAGGCGCAAGAGATGGCGGAGAAAGAGCGTAAGGAGAAAGAAGATGCACTCACCGGCGAGGTTGCCAACCTGCGAAGATTAGTAGAGAGACTCTCTACCCAGCAGCAATACAATAACCCCTACGATATCCCACCCGCAACCCGAGAGACGGAGGTCTTTGCGGTAAACCGCGGATATTACGGTCACCCGAGGCAGCCGAACAACCAAGCGCCAGGTATGGGCAGCACCCAGTACCCGGGCGGCTATGGGAATTCGATGGCCGCGTTTAATCAAGCGCAACTCCCGAACCCACATGCAATGGGACCCCCGCACTATGCGGCGACGGGACAGCAAAGCTACCCGCCCACGGGGTACATGCCGAGGAGGCACACGATTCAGAACGACGCCAGACCAGTCGTCACGTGCTTCCGGTGTGGGCAGACAGGACACTACAGCCCCGAATGCGTAAACCCGCCCCTATCAATCATGGAACAGCAGGAGGTTAGACGCCGAGTAGGCGAGGACCAAATCGAGAAGATACGCGCACAGTTGGGGCTTCAGTCGGGCCCCCAGGGGCTACCCCCAAATCAAACCGCCGGTGGGCAATACACAGTAGCGCAGGGCGCAAACCTGGTACCGCTTGGGATCAGGCCCAGAGGCGCCCCAGGCGGAGATGTGCGCGCAGCGCAACAGGGAAACGCGGCATCGGCGGGTGCAAATGCGGTAGAGGTGTGTGCGGGAGACAGAGAGGTTGGCGGCATCAGGGTGCCTGAGGCGAGCTTGGTTGAGTGGTTTGACGCTGATGCGGCGGAGAAGAGGGATAGTGAGGAAGCGTTTGGGAGGTGGAGCAGTAGAGCGGAAGGACCCGCGAGCAAGAGGAAGGTGAGGGTCGAAGAGGAAGATGAGGAGATGGGTGATGCTGCTGCCGCTCCTGACAAGGGCAAAGGCAAAGCTAAGGCGTACCAAGCCCCCGGCACGAGCTCTAGGCAGGCACCAAAACCAGCCGAGTCTAAGCGGCCCATTCGGATGATGAAAGGGGTGATCCCCGAAGACGTGGTCCAGAGGTTGAGAGATACTAAAATCGAAGGGCTCACGTGGGGTGCGCTATTCGACCTTGCCCCGGCTGCCCGCAGAGACGTGGCAAAAGGCCTAGTACTAGAACGTGTTGCTAGAGCCCCGAAGGAGAAGACTACACAGCCGGACGAAACCCACGCAGTCGAAGCAGTAAACAGAGCACGTGAGGACGAGGGCCCGGTCGTAAACTTCTACACCGACGGGAAGGTTAGAGTACCGGGGATGCCCGCCGGCTTCTTCACGGTAAAGAAAATACTCGTCGACGCCGGCTCCGTCGTGAATCTCATGCCCGAGAGCATCGCGGACGAGATGAGGCTACGCAAAGAGCGCGGGCCGGGATTCAATATCAAGACCGCCGACGGGGGACTAGCTCCAATTTCGTCCATGGTGTCCTTCGACCTCAATGTGGCGGGGGTGACTGCACGAATTACCTGCCACCTAGTACCAGGGCCGAGAACGCCATCTTACTCGATTCTGCTAAGTAGGCGATGGCTCCGTCAGTGCCAAGCGCGGGGAGACTACCGCTCGGACACGTATGTCATCAAAGATAAGGAAGGCAACGAATTCCTGGTGCCCGCAGTCAGAGGCGGGCATGAGGAGTCCCCGAGGATCTTCATCAGCGCTGAGTCCACGAGGATCGAGATCGACGACGAGATGGCGGAAGATATCGAAGAGGGAGACGACACCATGTCTGCCATCGTCGAGAGGATATCAAGAGAAAGTGATGAACAAGAAAGGTGGGAGTTGGAGCTCGAGAGGAGAGAGTTTGAGGAGAAGGGTGCGAAGCGGGGAGAGAACGAGGAAGAGCTGTGGGCGGCCAAATGGAATGAAGGGTTTCGGGACTCCTGGAGAAGCTCACTGCAATTAGGTGAGGCTTTAAAAGGGCCCCACTGCTAGTCGCCCGGGGGCCTAGCAGTGACGTGGAAAACGAACCCGGAGGAGAAGAAGAAGGAGAATGTTGGGGCGGAGGCGGGTGCGGGGAAGGATGTGAAGCAATGTGGGCTGAGCGTGAGGAGAGAGAGGCACAAGACGAGACGATGCGGCTAGCGCAGGTTCACGATCGCCGCCAGGTCAAGAATCACCAGGGCGAAATGTACGACCTGATCAATGAGGACGACCGCGTATACGGCATAAATACGATAGGGTACCCGACGAAAGAGAGGCCCGCGAGCTACCACAGGGAGGTAGACTCACACACGACCGATGCGGAGATAGAAGCGTGGTTTGAAGAATGCCGCACTACAATAGGCAATGCCGCGGAAACCGAGGTCGAAAGAACAAGCGCTAAGAGGTTAATCTACACCTGGCGTGACATCTTCGGGGACGACTTGGGCAGTGTACCGGAATGCCGAATAGCTGTGCACTACATCCCGACATACCCTGGTTCAATACCACACAAGGCGACTAACCCGCTCTACACGGCGGAGGAAATGGCCTGGATGCGGGAAAACCTGCCGAAGATGTGCGATTCGGGCATACTGACGGTATCGAATTCGCAATGGTCGAGCAAGCCCAAGTTTGTACGCCGGAAGAATGGTAGTCTGAGGATGGTCCATGTCTTCTGTAGGCTGAACAAGGCGACTATTAAGTTCAACACCCCGATGAAAAGAATTGAACCAATATTGCACAATCTCATGCAAAGTCGATTCAAATGCTACTGGCAGGCCGACGCGTCAGTAGGGTACTGGGGCGTACCCCTCGCAAGGGAGCACGCCTACAAAACTGCGTTTAACACCCCGCTGGGTCAGTTTTGTTATCTGCGCATGGGCATGGGACTATCGGGTGCAGCGCATACATACGCAAGAATGAAAGACATCCTAACGGGGCCGATACCATCCCCGCTCGCTGAGGCGGCGATCTCGGGCTCGGGGGATGACTCCGCATTCGAATACTTCATGGACGACGACTACGGTGCCCATACGTCATTCGATAGTCAGTACCGTTTTCTCCATGAGAAATACTTCCCCCGCATCGCCTGGTCGGGGTTGAAGCTCAACCCTGCGAAGAGCCACTTCTGGTCGAGGAACCTTAAACTATTGGGGTTTGCGGGCAGCGGAGAAGGCGGACTCCGCCCGTCGATCGATAAGGTGGCGGCAATAAGGGACTATCCAGTCCCAAGCGATGTGGCTGCGCTTGAGCGCTTCTTGCACATCAGCACGTACCTGAGGCAGTGGGTACCGGGAAGATCTGATCACGCAAAGATTCTAAAGACGGCAATACTGTGCAATATCAATAGCATAGGCGCGCGCAGAGATTTAGTGCTGCATTGGAAGCCGGAGCACGAGGCGTCATTCAAACACATCAAGGAGTGCATCGTCAACAACGTCGTTTGGGGAGGCGACCCCACCATGCAGTACCACCTTTCCACAGACGCATCAAACCTAGGCATAGGCGCGGTGCTGTTTCAGCTGGAAGGCGCACCTCCAGGCACCATCGCGGGTCCTCGGCACAGGGAAAGCGAGCGAATCGTCCTCTTCATTTCCAAAGCATTCGCGCCTGCGGAAACGCGCTACCACACCACGGAGCGTGAAGCGCTTGCGGTAGTGAGGGCGCTAAGCGAGGTACGCTGGTTGGTTTTGGGGTCGCCATACCCTATAAAGGTGTACACGGACCACCAAGCGCTTCTGTCGGTTCTGAAAGGTGACGAGGCAAAAGGACGCATAGCGCGGTGGCAAATGCAGCTGGCAGAATATGATATGGAGATCTATCACGTGCCGGGATCGCAAAATGTGATAGCGGACGGGATGTCGAGGCTTAGCACGAGGCGGGGAGACGGAGAGGTAGGGGTAGAGGTGGCGGTGGTGGATATAGAAGGGTGGAAGGACTGGTTGGAAGATGATTGGTATGGCGTGATGGTAGAGTACAAGCTGACGGGGATGTTGCCGGCGGGTAAGATCGCGGGTAAGGCGGGGAAGGAAGGAAACGAGCTGTCAGAAACGGATAAAGCGAGGTGGTTGCGAAGGCTGAAACACCAATCGGCGCGTTTTGTGATAGTCGATCCCGAATCGCCGGGCCGACCGCACGGACTCCTATACCGAGAGAAGAACGGAGAATTGGCAATCTGCATCAGAAAAAGGAACATCAAGGAAATCCTATGCTGGGCGCATGACGTACATGGACACTTTGCGGAATCAATCACGCTGAAGAAGCTAATCGGCAAATATTACTGGCCGACACGCCACCGCGATACCTCATACTACTGCCGATCTTGCGATTCATGTCAGCGGGTAGGCCCGTTGAAACCTTCGCAAGCGCTGCTACCCATATTCCAGTTGCAGCCAATGGACTTGTGGGGCATGGACTTCATCGGGCCGATCGCTCCGATATCAAGATCGGGTAACAGATACATCTTGATCGTCGTCGATTACTTTACCCGCTACCTCTTCACAAGCGCGGTAGCGAGAGCGGATAGCGCGGCAGTCGTAGCGCTAATCTCGGAAATCGGAAAGTACATCGGATGGCCGCGCGCCATATACAACGACAATGGCTCGCACTTCATAAACGCGAGCGTCAAACAACTACTAGATGGACGAGGGGTCAAACAATTCCCGGCGCCTAAGTCGCACCCCCAATCAGTGGGCCTGGCTGAGCGCTATGTACAGCTGGTAGTAGTGGGGCTACGCACTCTAATGGCGACCTCAATCGCCAATCGATACGTCTGGGACGAGATGTTACCCGGGGTAACCCATGCCATAAACACGCGCGTGATACGCGCACATGGATATACCCCTAGCCAACTTCTCTTTGGGTTTAACCTCCGGAGGAGCCGCCTAGACGCCACGCCGAGGGATCAACTAGCCTCTGCGGTAATATCGGAAGCGATAGTCGAGATAGTCGAGCGGTACACTGACAGCGTGGGTGAAGATGCTGCACCTGCTAGTGCTAGCGTTGAAGAACCAACGGAGCTATGGGCATACCACCAAAGACTATCAAAGTTGGAGGAGATACGGGAGGCCGTAAGAACCAAAACCCTGGAGAAGTGCTCGCAAAAGCAAAGAAAAGCGAGATGGAAGGCGCCTCAGGTGGGAGACCTCGTTTTGCTCCGCAGGTTCGAGATCGACAGGCAGCACGGCCGCAAGTTTGAAGCCAAATGGGAAGGCCCGTACAAGCTCGACAAAATATCGTGGCATGGAAGGACCGGAAGGGTATTCGACCTAATCACCGGCGAGGAAGCAAGGGTCAAGAAGACGGGGCTTCACGAGAGGGTGCACCTCGACGACTTGAAGATATTCGTCCCTCGAGAAGATCAATGGCTGGGATTCGAGGAGGATAGGCAAGAGCGGGGGAACTTGAGGTTCGTGGGACTGTGTGAGGCATTGGGGAAGGACGAAGAGGAAGGAGTTAGAGAATGGGGCAGTAGGACGGTGATATTCCCTGGCGGGGAGGATAGGGTGGCAGAGGAGGAGTAGAGCGCCGAGAAACGTTTAAATCATACGCCGAGAAGCGTTTCGTTTCGTTTCGGGTCCTGCGGGCTTCACGGTATCATTCATTTCTTATCCGCGATGGAGGGGAAACAAGCGCCGGGAGGGCATATCAATTGAGAAAAAGGGGGGGTGGCTGAAAGCGGGTTTCTTTCTTATCTCTTATTTTTTTTGCTTACTGCGTATTGATTACTGCGTCTATCGTGCTTATGATTTGCTTACTATGCTTGCGCGCCTGTGCACAAGACATCTCCCTGATGCGGATTGCTGCTTATTTCCTTTGTTTCATTTGATTTTGCTGCGTGCGGTAGTAGGGATAAATGACGGTGTACTGAGGCAGGTGGGAAGAGAAGGCTGGGGAAGAAAGAGGGGTTTTCGTTGTTGGGCACATTAGGTGTCACGGATTAGGCAGCGTTCACGTGACGACACAGACAATGCTTTTGTAAGGTGTCCACAGCAGGACTACCTCATAGTTAGATTTGTAACTTACTCTTCTCCTCTCATCCATCATCATTCATTTTGTCGTCGTCGATAGCGCAAAATGAAATTCTCCCTCTGTCTATAGAACTAAGAAATTATTTATTTCATCGTTCGGATCGTCGTGAATCTAAACACAAAAGAGAGTGAACACAATAGCCGGCCAACAGCGTCACGATATCGGGGTCGGTCTTGGCACATGTAAAAATCTCCATCAGGTAAATCATCACCTATTTAGGTGTTTTTGAGCTCACAGATGGCAGATCAACGCCCTTTTGGTAATAAACCGAGTGCTTTATCCCTTGGACGGATGAAACTCTCAAATTCGCGACATCCCTCTTTCAGCTATCACTAGCCTTATGTGGTAACTGTAGCTGATTTTTCATTGGCTCAATTATTGTTATCACCTGCAAAAAGAAGGACAACTGCCTTACTAAGTGCGTGCACGGTCCATGTCGCGAATTTGAGAGTTTCATCCGTCCAAGGGATAGTGATGGACAGGGGTATTTTTAGTGGATTTTGATCTGGCCTTAACAATTTGTATGGGTAAAAATTGACATGTCTCCCTACCAAACTCACCCAACTTCAAAGTCTATCTTCTCAACCACAACACAAGATAATTAAAATTAAAGGCGGTAGAATGATTATTTTCTTGATTCTCTGTCATTCTACAGCCTCTAATCAAAAATATATTGTGTTGTAGTTGAGGAGATAGGTTTGGCGTTCATGTACTTTTACCGGCCCCGATATCGTGACGCCCATCATACGAGTAAATTGTCGTGATGTGTAACACAGCAGGTGCGCGCATGGATAGCACTCCAAGATACCGGAACACCACCCAGCGGACTGGGTGGGATGGGATAGAGTTGGAAAGATCATAAAAAAGAAAAGGGACCCTTTACCAGAAATGGAGGGAGTGCCAAGTGTGCTGTCAGTGCGGGGTCGGGACCTCGGGAGATGCCGCTGGATTGGATTCTAGAGAGTACTAGGGCCTCACAGGGTTTGGTGGCCATAAAGGATTGAGAGGGCGACTACATGTACCCTAGAATAGATATACCTAGATACATGTATGCATAAGGTCTTGGATACGGCTGTATTTGGATGTAGGTAATAATATTATATACTGCCCACGGACTACAGATAGAAACTCAGGCAGAAAAGGCATCTGGATATATGGATATTAGAAGAGCAGAGCTGCACTGCTTGGTTGGTTTGTATTGTCTAGCCCGCATACCTAGACTCTTTACCTGAGCTAGATCGTGAACTGAAAGATAGGGTATTTATTTGGTTGAGGTGTGCACTCTCTTTTCCCTATCGGCTATCGCGCTGACCTGAATTAAATCCTGGTCTATCAATCCCTGTCTCCCTAGCTGGACCGCTGATAGTTTATTGTCTTTGGTTAGAAAAATCTGGCGAGCCATACAAACTAACGCTATAGCGGCAACACCACCCTGAAGAAAACACCCGCCAGCCAGCTTGATTTGATTTGATCTGCTCCCCCTCACCTACGTACATTTCTTCTTTTGTCTCTTCCTCTTCTTCTTATTCTCTACCTTATTCATTCTCGAGCTTGGCCTGTAACCGGAACTAAGTCATCTCAGTACTGACCCAATTCCTACGGAGGACTAAAAGAAGCGACAAGAAAAGTCTAAAAAGAAAGAAGAAAAAAGGCACTTCTTGCCTTATATCTTGGAGTTGGTCGGCTCATCCACCACACATCAACCAACCAACCCCAGGAACCAAAAATTAACTTTAAAGTTGCACCAAAGGACAACGGAGGAGAAAATGGCAAGGCACCACCACTCACTCCACTCCCCCGCCTAATCACTAGTTGCCTCACTGGGAGTATTAATGCTGACGAAGATTTTTGTTTCAATTAACAGTCTGGAGACTCGGGAATCTCTGGAGTTTTCCCTAGAGATAACGCGAATGAAAGGTGTGTTTATTACCACCTCATGGGGGAGGGATTCTGGCTGACATTTACAGATACATCGCAACCGATGACGAAACCTTTTCGATAACCTCGTCTATATTTAATTACCAGTATGAAAATGGAAGACGCTATCACGCGTTCAGAGAGGGTGCGTTGGAATCCTTCCTAGCTCTTGTATCTAAATACTAACTCTGTGCACTGCAGGTGCTTATTATGCACCAAATGACGATGTCTGTGAATATTTACCCAGCTAGCTAGCTATGTAACTAGCTTAGACTCCCGCTTGATCAAACTAGAAGCTTGAACTCACTTACTGACACCAAATCAAATAGTATCAAAATAATCAATTAGACATATTGTATGGAACCTCAACACCTCCTCTCCCATCCCTTCCGCGCGATTCTAACGTAAGAAAAACCAATGTAGCCATCACATCTTCCTCCTTATGCTCGGCGGGGATCTTTACACTGCACCACTGGAATCACCAAAGGTATTCTACCCTCTGCCCTCCACTAATTCTTAGTTGCCCTGCTAAATGCGATTAGAGAATTCTCGATGTCGGTACCGGGACAGGCATGTAAGTAGTAGAGGCGGCCCCCCTAACCAAAGAAATGGGACGGAACGCAAACTAATGGCAAGAAAAGATGGGCAATGGACATCGCCGACAAGTTCCCCAACGCTGAGGTTCGTCGCATCCCCTCTCCATTCAATCCCACCCTCGCTCTGCAGCATCGATTAAACGTCCGTCAATAAAATAGGTTATTGGAACCGATCTCTCTCCCATACAACCTGAATGGTACTACTCCTTATCTTTATCACACCCACACAACAAACAAAGAAACTAACACACCCCTGACAGGGTTCCACCGAACGTCCACTTTGAAATCGACGACGCAGAGAGCGAGTGGACATATGGAGAAAACTATTTCGACTATATTCACATCCGCTGTCTTTTCGGCGCCATTTCCGACTGGCCCACGCTGATTGAACAAGCCTACAAGTCGGCCTACCCCTCCGTCACATCCTCCCTACGTACACCAGACATCACTAACAGTTCCCCCCCCCCCCCCAGACACCTTGCACCAGGAGGCTGGATCGAAGTCTCAGAGGCCAAACTACCCTACGACTGCGACGATGGAACGTTACCGGAGAATAGTTATCTGAATCGGTGGGCGCAGTTGGCGATTGAGGCCGGGGAAGAGATGGGAAGGTCGTTCGACATCACGGACAAGATTGGACGCTGGCTGGAGGAGAGTGGGTTTGAGAATATCACGGAGAAGTACTATAAGACGCCAATTGGGCCCTGGGAGAGAGACCCCCACTTGAGGGAGATTGGAAAATACAACCTGTTAAATTTGTTGGAGGGGATGGTATGGTTTTCACCCGTTTAGATCGCTGTGGGCATAGGGCTTATGAAACCTCATTTGGATTGTAGGATGGATTTACGACGGCATTGTTTACAAGATACCTTGGAGTGAGTTCATCCCTGTTAGGCCGGCGTTATATCTGTTTTTGTTTTTATTTTGTCGAGGGTCTAGAGGCTGACACCGTTGTAGTGGAATCGAACCGAAGTTCAGGCGTATTATGGAAATCTCCGCCAGGAGATCACAAATCCAGAAATCCACTCCTACTTCAAAACGTACACTTCCCTGCTCCGGCCCCCACTTCGCACCCGTTCTAACATTTCGATTTCTTACAGATTCTACTGGATTGGACAAAAGCCAACCACTAATCACCACGGAAGGACATAATCGTTACTGCGCTAATTGGACGTACGGATGGAAAAGAAAGAAAGTTATTATAACAACTTCTGGATCGCCTCCACCCCCCGCCTTATAATTTATATTTTTGAGAGGGCTTCTGGAATATATATATATATGGATATACTTATATATATGCCGAGGAAATGTATATATCAAGCTTTGTGTACAGCTGTCTGTTTTGTCTATCTTTTTTTTCTCCTTTTCCGCCGTGGTTTCCTTTTCTCTATAATATTTCGTACTTTTCAGCCCTTTCTTGATGAATGAGATGACTAGGAGGCCTGCTACTGCATGCCAAGATCTTGATACATACATCTGGCCCCCACAGCATGTACCGAGATAACTATAGTCGCAACTCGCTATGCCGGATGGTCAAGATTCTGAGGGATTCGTCCGGGATAGCAAGTGATCCGGGACAGCAAAAAAGGGAAAAAGTAAATATAGGGGAGCGTATATTTATGGTACTATAGCTACAGTATGCTATGACCATGTATCGTGAACTCTTGCCGGCTTTCTATCATCCAAATCCAAAATACCTCCTATCCAGCGCAGACAGCACATTGCCGGTTTTACTCCACTAGAGAAATGCAAATTGTGTAAATCGAGAGAGCGATTTCCAAACTTAAAATTATCCTTATTTGCACTTTTGGAAGAGTGCCCAAGACGCCTAGATGGGCGGCCCCTTGCAACATCTAGTCTCTCGGATCATTTGAAGGAATGGGAAAAGAGGGCAAAAGAAGACCCATCAAGCGGTATGAGAAAACCCAATCTATATGTTTTTAGCTTATCTAACAAAATATTAGGTCCAGATTCAAAGAAGAAAAAATCCAGGACCGCCCAATATCCATTTTTGAGCATTTTCTTGCACTTTGTATAGATGCGGCAGAATCAGAGCGGATCGCAGTTACAGATAACATAATCTGTTCGCAGTCAAAGACAATTCAGAAAGAGCTTCTAAATGCAGGCGTTCTTAAAAACTATGACTCTTTTGAGTTGACAGGGCAAACTTTAATGCGAGATACAATATCGGCCATTTAAAACGACATGGAGAAGCTGGTCAAATCAACGAAGCCATGTTACCTGTACACAGAGAGCGACTAGCAGAGCAATTAGCACCGTTTGCCCCGTCTGACAGATATAATTGCGATGAAAGTGGTTTAGTCTACAATAAACAACCACAGAGCTCAAACATTAGAACGGACAGAGGGAAACAGATCAGCGGTTTGAAGGATTCAAAAACGCGTATTTCAACATTTCACGTTGTTAATTCTACAGGAACTGATAAAGAAAGCTATGGGTGATCTCGAGAGCAAAAGAGCCACACGCTTTCAAGAAAAACCGCGTTAACATTGCCAATTTGCCTGTTGTTTATCGATATAATAAAAAAGCTTGGATGTTGACTGGGTTGTGGTATGAATTCGTACAGACATTCAACCATCAAATGCGGATTGAAAATCATAGCATAGCTTAGGCTCTTGTTACTTATTATTGTCCGACCCATCCGCACCCGCTTCACCCTCCCCAAAACTACAATGGCCCAACTCCACCTGTTCTAACGAACATAACCATAATTTACCTTCCACTAAACATTACATCAAGACTGCAACCACTAGATCAAGGAATCATAAAAGCGTTCAAATCTGCTTACTAGTATCGGCGTCAATATGCAGATAATATGGTTCAGTACTTCAACAACCATGGGGTTGCTCCTGAGAAAATCAATATATTACAAGCGGTGCATCTAATATCAAGCGCGTGGGATGCGGTAACCCCACAAACGATAGTCAACTGCTGGCGGAAAGCGGACATTTGTGGTGGAAGCGCAATTCAAAATGCCGACTCCAACTCCAACTCTTCACCTGAACAGCGACCCGAAGACCAAGTGCAACATTTTGTTGCTTCCCAACGTACACGTTGTCAGATTGCTACTATGCGCCGCATTTTTGACCCTCTATCAGATTTCCAAGTATCCGACCCTACATGGGGAGAAAGATTTGAGGAGTTTTTTTCCTTCGACGAAGATACTGTTCAAGAGAGTACAAATTCAGAAAGTGGAGAGAATGCACTACCAAGCGCATCGCAACTTCTAAAAGCAGGAATTGCATCAGGCATTCTCCTGCAACTTGAAGACCCGTCCCAGCTTGACCAATATGATAGAATAGATAATGAAGAATCCGAAACCATGAGCATACAGACAGAAAGCGACAACATCCCAGCTCCTTTAGCAATTGTTACAACTGAAGGTGCAATCTATTATGCATCAGAGCTTTTCCACTACCTCCAGTCTCTTAAAACGACAGAGCTGTATAGTAACGGGGGTTAAGACTCTCGGTGTTGATGATTTGGTCAAGCATCTGAGCTGAAAGTTGCTCTTGTCCGGTAAGTGTCCACTACATTTTGGACTAGAATTAATAGCTAATGTTGAGGATAGTCACAAGCATACCGCGTAGGCCCATCAAACCAAAATTAGTAGGTATTTTACGGGCGCGCCCCGCGAACACAGGGAGAATCCAGCAGCGGGACCGTCTGTTGTTATAAGAGAACGGGCATTGGTAGGGGACGATATACCATTAAGATACTCCATGTCTTCCAGTGATATGGAGGAGGACGAGCACCTTTACTCACCTTCTCTGGTTGTCTGGAGTGGGCGTGGTATTGATGCAGCGTACGAAAGGCTTGCAAATTGAAAATTGCATATAGCTTAACAACCAGCCATCGTGGGCTCAAGCCAATAGCACCATTAGATTCGCCGTGAAAACTGATCTATACACATTATTAGCCTGTATTCATCTTTAATATGCATGTCATAATATCCAATTTTGAAAATTCTCGATCTCAAATTACTTTCCATACCGAATTTTGATATAGCTCAACAACCAGAGATCGCACGCCTAAGGCAATAGAACGGTTAGAATCTTCGCTAAATTCTATCCTATACAAAGTATTAGCATATATCCATTCCTAATACACAAATTGTAATGTCCAATTATGGAAATAATCGATATTGTTGAACTTTATCAGCAAGAATTTGAATATATCTCCACAACAAAGGGCCGCGGGAAGAAACCGATAGCATGGCTAGCTTCGTCGCAAAATTCTACCTTAGAAGCACTATTAGTATGTCTTTATCCCATATGTTGGAAAGGATTTGAAGAAAAAAATGAATCTCCTCGAGTATCACCACTCTGTGATCTTCCTCGCAACCTAACTTTAACCTATATGCTAAGCCTAACTATCCGGGATAGCAGATCTTGTTTCTGTAGGAACAGGGGTTCACTCTCCTGTGAATTCCCATCCGGTCCGAACAGGCCAATATCCGGGATAGCAAATGCATTTTGATGATAAAAAGTAGTGTCCACCAACCTCATATCCGGGACAGCAAGGGATCCGGCACGGCGGGTTCCGGCATATCGAGTTGCGACTGTACTTAACCTCGTATCAACAACCCACAGGGTCTTTTACCGTATTGGTCCCTTTTACCAGCGGGCACATCCCCCCAATCCCCCGGTTTTTTCTTTTGGATATTATGTGTATGTAGGGTGTTCGACTTCATGATTTCAATGCACCCCAACGGTTAAAATCAATTCCTAATCCTAGTATATTTTCGTCTCATTCCGTAATAGCGGTAGGTGCACTTCCTGAACACACATCCGAGGATTGTTGATTTCCACTATTGGGAGTCCACTAGACTACCATTACCATTATCCTCCCCTTCACCATCGCCGCCGACACGTCAGTTTTGGTCTCTGTGTGTCCTACCATGAACGAGGCGTTTCGTTAGAAGTTTCTTTCGCCACTTGTCTAGGATGTTCCCTGACGCCCCGTCCTGCGGGTGTTTCTGTCTGTGCTCCAATACATACCGACTTGTGTACTCTAGGTACTCTATGTACCTCTAGGGTACTTTATCTACGTGTCAGTGTACCTCCCACTATGTGTGCGCCTGTACCTTCCTTGAAGCAGGCATTGAGCTGTTCTAGACTTGGGATGGCTTTGTCAGTACTTTACAGTTGAAACCACAGTGTCGGGATCGCTTAGAGCACGAAGGAGGCGACCCCCACAGCTAGATAGCAATTACTTCTTTTTTTCTTCCCCCCGCTTTCAGACCAGCGGTGACTCCGTGAGTAGGGTACCGGTGGGCTGGGTCGGTAGGTGGGTGGTGTGAGTGATTTCTGGTGATTTGGGAGATGGGTAGGTACATACATCTCGGTTTGGAGGTTGGGCTGGGTAGCAGTATATACAGATACTCCCGGGATGATGGGGGAATTGGGAGAGCGGTGAGGAAAGAGGAAACAGCCAATATCTGGTAGTTTGGTTGGCCTAAACCTACCTTTTCGTCCGTTCCATGTTCGTCGTTGTCCCTGAGGTGACTGTATGCCAGTAAAGGTAAACGGCGGTCGTAGATATAAGCTACAGGCAGGGCTTTCGATGCGGATAGAGATCTCATCCCAACCCCCCGTTTCATGCTATGGATAGTTTATGTTACTGATTATAAGATCGAGTGAGCTGTGGTCCGAGAGGGGAAGATCTATTGAATTCCGGGGATTCATACATGTTCGATCCTGGGAGTCGGAGCTCTAATCCCGTATAATGCCTGCATGAGCGGTTGAATAGTAATCGCTGAGAGTGTGGAGATAAGTAAGTCAAGAACAAAATAAAGATCCCCATCTGTTTGACCCGTTAATATAACCTTCGTACCGCCATCCGCCGTTCTGTCGATTACCTTGCCGTTGATGTGTTCTTGGAACCCCGCGGAGCTACAGTGAATCGCTAGCTTCCATCACAATTCTCACTAACCCCAATGATCTTCGAGTACTTTACTATCTTTACATCCCTCCGGATGTACCCCCACGAGTCGACGATGTATGGTTGGGGACACCTTGAGCCGGAGTGTCAAAGTTGCCGAACTTCGAGTCCTAATGGCCAACCACCACAACACATTAAAATTAAAATAGCTCTGTAGGGTGGTAGAGAAGGAGATAGATAACACTGTAACAGAGCCCAATTAATTTTATCTGTTGTGGTTGTTGAGCTATTGAATTTTTAAAAGTTGGGTTTTTGGTGAGAGGCTGACCGAATGTCGCACTTCCACACCAATAATTACCTGATTAGGAAGTACTTTAGTACATAATTACCCGATTGGGAACATATCACTGGTGGCAGGCCAATAGCTTGGCATAAATCTTCTGTCTTGGCATTTTGGAGCGATTTCGTGCTACGTAATTACTAGATTAGGAAGGTGATCTTCACTGGGGACCAATGTCGCACCCTTCCGTCTCTAGGTGTCCCCAACCATAGCATTCACAAAACCTCGACGACTCCGCGATTAATTCGCCAAAAGCATACCTTTCCAAGCAGATATCCAGATCCAGACGCGTAGGCAATTCCTAGTCTCCAGATCCCAGGAGGAAAAATACTTGCCTCACGATCCTTGATCCGCGCAAGGATCTCGGTCTTACCAGTGCTTTTATCGACGCCACGTCTACCCCTACATTCCCAACAACACCGGAGGGTGGAGAGAGGTTCAATCTCGGTTACCCATACTTTTGTGCAAGCAGTAAGAGTGACGTTTTTAATCTTATTGACCGTGCGTGTAGACACTTGTGCACGGGTGCGCTGTAGTGTTTCTCGGCCTTAGTTAAAAAGAGTGTTGGAGGAGGTGTAGTTGAATAATATAATCTAAGAGGCCCCTCTTCCTGCTTGCTGCACAGGTTATTGATATCCAGAAGAGACTTGAGTTACCTCTATTGCCTGATAGAGGCCCAAGCTGATGCGTGTTTTCTCGTTAATACACGGTCATTTGATTTTTGGTTGGAGTGATAGGCGGATCTACTTTAGTTGATTTGTTGTAACCATGTCGGATTTCCGAAGGTGATTTGGGGACGATACTGATATCTGACGCCTAGCTCTTTCGTTCATGCCGTATCACTCGTCCTTGGATGAGTATAGGTTGTTGTTGTTCCTGTTAACTCATTAATCATGAATATAGGTTGCCTAGGCCGAGATGAGGTGAAGTTAATTCATGTCTTGGGAAGAAAAAGAGAAGATCTGATACTTGATATATTTGGAAGGCGTGTCACCCTAACAGGGAAGAGAACCATGCTAACATGCATGCATACTTCGATTGAAATAGGAACGGTCTTTGCGCTAATAAGTGTGGTTTTTAACGTTCAAACCCCACTAATTAAAGTGGCGTCTAGAGATTTTGGAGACTTTAGAACGAGCTGGCCAATAAGAGGCCTCAACTGATTCGCACCTCCGGCGACCGTGATTTGATCGCTCGAATCAAGCTCTAAATGGCTGGATCCACCTGACTCTGAGCGCACCGAAATCATGTGCGTTCACTTAGTACTCGGGGCAGGTAAGAAGAACCTGAAAATGACTTTTAATGGTAACAACCTCTGATTCGCGGCTGGCGAAAAGCTACACCAAATTGAGCACCTGCTTGCAGCTTGCATTTTCAGGTTCTTATTGCCTGCCCCGAGTATCGAGCACTGTGCATGCGGCTGGGGGTGTCGTTCTCAGGGACAGATCGAAAATATTTATGTACACTCCCGAGGTAAGTTGGCCCGAGAGTTCCAGGGCACAATCCGTTCTTTCGGGAGCAACGTGATTCAGCTCATATCCGCCACATAGGAGTTGAGAGCGAGGGTAGGATGCCCATGCCTTTGGGATGACCTTGTCATGATATCAACCTTAGTATCTTCTAACCCGGTTCGTGTCTTCTAAAACGCCGAGATAGCCTTTGATATATCAGCCCACGACCTATTAATTAGTTGTTTCATCCATACCAAGGAGCAGATTTATGAAGCAGTGATTGTGGCAAATGCGGAAAGAGATCTTTGGTCTCGCGCTGGGCCAAGGGAATGGGTATTGAGTGTGTAATGAGAGATCAAGAAGATAGAAACGAAGAAGAGGGGAAACATGTCAAAGCGGGGTATTATGTAAAGTTTAATGTCTGATATAGGTATTTACATATAGGTATGTAATCGCTACGTATACGCAACTGGCTGCGTGTGCGTGGGCATAATGTAGAATCAAGTACTCGTACTTTCCTAACGTTTGTAAAAGGGACCACTATTGCATACCATACTAAAATTTGGACTTGGCACGTATTTGTATGGTATGCAATAGCGGTTCCTTTTACAAACGTCAGGAAAATACGAGTACTCGGGGCAGGCAAAAAGTACCGGACAATGCAAGCAGTAGTTCACGCCTAGCACGCGTGCCCATTGGTGAACCAAAAATCTGCATTGTCCGGTACTTTTTACCTGCCCCGAGTATGTGTATGTGGCCTGTTCTCCCATAGACACAGTTCCATTGAGG